TAAGATAAGATATGTGCAAGAATACTGTTGCCCTAAGGCAAAACGTTGGATGAGCATTCGAGTGTTGCTAAATGGACGTATTTCTGTCAAACGGAACTAAGCGCCAATTTGAATTCCTTTTGAGGAATTTAGAATGCCGGATAGCGCGTTCTGTCAAACGGAACTAAGCGCCATGGAAAAGCATTGCGAATGTAGGAACGAATAACCCCCACGCCCGGTTCCGCCGCCAATCCAAGCCCCCCCCCCCCTCTACCTTGGTACACGGACTTTATGTCCACTTTTTTCACGTCCACGGACTTTTCGTCCAAACTTTTTACGTCCACAGTTCTAAAGCCCACACTATTTTTAAGTCCATTACTTAAACGTCCACTAAGTTAAGTCCACAAATGTAAAGTCCACTAAAATCAAATTGAAGCGTCATATTTTAGTCCGTGTGTAAAATTATATTGACAATGTCAAAGTGAGAAATTTAAGAGAGAATGACGTGTTGTTATCGTAACTCATATTTTAAATGAAATGTTAATTTCTTCTTTTGATTCATTTTTTCAAATTGTCTTTGGTAAATACTTGGTTTCATTCCTATCCTTGAAATTTCCGATATAAAATATGCCTTAAATGTACATTATTTTTTTTTTAATGAAATTAATTACTTCATTCTAAAAACATTTACATTTTTAAAACGTGGTAAATATTTGTAAAACCTTTTCCGAGCAATGGCATCGATATGAATCTCAATGAGCCGTAGTTGTGATGAAAGAAACTATACAAAAATTAAAAGAAGAGGAAAAAAACTAAGAAGCACGCAATTTTTTGTGTTTAACTTATTTGTACATCGACCTCCTTGAGTTAAATACGTCCAATTTTGAGCGTTTGGTTGCGCTTACACCACGCTGCAGCACAGTAAAAGCCCAAAACATAAAAGAATAAATTTGAACGCTTTGGAAATCATTAAGTTTGACACGGAACCACTAATATATTTACAAGAAACACATTATATTTTCCAGTAGTACATATTTCTTTTTCATCAGTTTAAAAGGGGATAATCAATGCAGAGAGTGCAAACATTTCAAAATCATGAATTGAAAAACGCTGGCTCCGCGAGTTTAAACATTAGAGCCCAACACAGAGCGGAGCGGCGTGTTAGCAGCGCAGAACGCGCACTGGCGCCTACAAACCTAACGGGATACTTCACGCATTGCGCAACACGTGAAGTATCCCGTTAGGTTTGTAGGCGCCTCTGCGCGTGTCACGCTGATTGCCTGCAGCGCCGCAACGCTTTAAGCAACTATTTCGCGTCAGAGGAGTTGCACAGTATCCTACAAGGTTGAAGGCGCACGAAATAATTGATTAAAGAGGACGTTTTCAAGTTTGAAAGGGCAGTTTGACTGCATCTGTTACTGAAAAATGTTTAATTTGGCATTGGAGCGTTTCCTAGGTTCCCGCATTGGTTTTCATCTTATCATATCCGTACAGTGTACATATGAACATATGTTTTTATCTGCTCTTAGAGTCTGTTCTCTTTCATGACTTGATTCATGAATGAAATGTTTTTAAGAATGAAGGAAGTAGTAGTATGCATTTATTTTTGAGGTGGTTCCTATCATTTAAATGAGAACCATTTGGGCAATTTTGGACATACTCATGGTTGGACATTAAATCATGTGGACTTAATAAAGACTGGACTTAACGTTTAGTGGACATAAATAGCGGTGGACATAAATAGCGGTGGACATTTATTTAATGGACGAAAGGTAGGTGGACATAAAGTCCTGGGAGCTTCCTACCCCGATGGCGCTTAGTTCCGTTTAACAGAAATACGCCCAAATTGCCCCTCGGAAAGTATTTTGTTGTAAAGAACGGTATGAATATTTTTCCTTGGAATTTTTAGACAGTTTGGCTGAAATTACGAAGAAAATTCTGTGAAAAACTGGAGGAAAAATATTTAAAAATTTCCCCGAAAATTCGAGATTCGTCGACGGAGATTTGGCAACATCTGAGGGCGCTTACGGCGTTCCTCCATGGAGTATAGTTCAACGGGATCAAATCGGAACTTGATGTCAGGTGACTTCTCGAGAGAGCGCGCTTGGTGGATCTGACCTCTGGCTCGATTTTTGAATCGATATCAGTGAACAATCGACTATCGATATTTCCCCATTTGAAGCTATGCTAAAGAATCGATTATTAAGGTGTTCGTTACGAACACCCTGTTTATCGATTATTTCCCATAGGTTTAAGTGGCAGATCAATCGATAAATCGCAAAGCACGATCGAAATCGAATGACCTTGATCGATAGACAGCACTGCTAAGATAGGGATCTATCGATGAGGATCATTCGAGACGGATTCAAGAATCAAAGCGCTGAGGACGGCGCGGCGGCAATAAAGAGTTGAACCAAGGAGGTGGCCCGTGGCTAAAAAAACGAAACAAATTTTAAGGAGCGACAGATTTCTCATCCTGATTCGAGTTGTGTAATCAATTCAAGACGGGGTTTCTCTTTCAACGCCGCAACGTCCTCGACTCCTCACCCGTTGAATTCCGTGCGATGCTTTCGGCTAAGGATAGGAGAGCATGACTGCCGTGCTGAAGAAGAACGCCGTATGAACCTTCAGACGTTGCCAAATTTCCTCCGATAAAAAACGAATTTACGGGGAAAATTGTGAATATTTTCCCCCGGAATTCTCAGACAATTTTGTGCGCAATTTAATCTAAAACATCTGAAAATTTTAGGGGGAAATATGCATGGATTTCGTCAAAAATACATGTTTCATCGAGGGAAATTTGACAACTCTCAAATGTTCATACGGCGTTCTTCCTTAGCACGGCAGATGAGACCTGCATTCATCGCCTTACGCCATAAGAAATCTATGGGATGGTAATACAGTGTTGCATTGGACGTCTCAAAGTGAAAAATAGATGCTTTCAATTGGATTACATTTTGCAATAAGGAACGACTATTTCTGGCCCATTTTAGAAACGACATACGTACCATTATGGTTTCCCTATGCAGATATGAGCTTTCATGGAAGAGCCAGAGACAGTGGTTCCTTATTACAAAATGTAATCCAATTACCTCTTCAATTGAAGAAAAACGCGGCTGTGGAAGTCGCACTTCCGGCCTGCAAGACATACCTCGTTCCGGGCTCAAAAGCCGAAAGTTCCGGATGCAGCACTCAGAGCAGTCGAAGCCACGGTTCCAGCACCTGGAACTTTCGGCCTCTGAGCTCGGAACGGACAGTATGTCTGCATAGCCAGTGTGTGCGGCTTCTACTGCCAGAGTTATTTTCTCTTTTTTTCTACAGTGTTGGGTACAATCAAGGTAACCTGAAACAAATGTGGGCACGGCGGTCGAAAATGGACTGCTCGTTTATTTCGTATTCGTATTCTCTAATTACAGCGGGCTCATCTACTATCTCCTATCGATAGCCGGAATTATTATAGAAATTGGCCCCGTAGATCTTCAGAGCAAACCGTGACAAAACATACAAATTTTCTTTGTTTAAATAGGAGAATTCACAACTTTATCACGTAATACAAGTGAAAAATCTGGGTCATATTTCCAAAATCTGTAAAAATTAGGCTTATTTAGGAGCTATCGTCTGTGCATAGCCGCAAACATCATGGAAGTCGGTCCACTAAAACTGTAGAACGAACTGTAACAAAAAATGAAAAATGAGGGTTCGGAGAGCTGATAGGTAGTGATGATGAGTTTGCGGGGCTTGGAGAATAAAAGTGCAGTTTTTACTTTTCGCGGAGTACGTATTTGAAGTTTCGATATTACACGGATCCTTATAGTGGAAAGAAAGTTCAAACTGACTTTTAGATGTTTAATTTCAATTTGGGAACGAATTTTTCTCAGAATGTGCACAAAGACCAGTCTCACTTGAAATCATTAATATCTCAATATTTTCAAAAATTGCACTTAAGCGCCTTGCCCCCAAGTCCCACAATTGAATCGGTCAGTTACAAAAGGGTCCAAGCGCCAAAAATGAGAATTCGAGAGAAACAGTAAAAAAGTTAATCAGACCCGTTCTGATTCTTTGAGTTCAGAAAAACTCTCATGTGTAAAGAGGGCAATAAATTTGAGGTTTGAATTTAGTTATTTCAAAAATGTTTCAAAAATTTTCATGTGAATTGAGCCGGGTAAGAGTAGAAAAACAAAGTGGCCCTCAGCCCTTTTGTATATGACCGATTCAATTGTGTTTGCACGGGTAGAGTAGGAGTTGAAGTTGAAGAGTGCGCTTGGGAGATGAAGTATTCGGCAGTGTAACGGTCAAAAGAGGTGGCTCGAGGAAATACCGTGGACAAATGACTTTGAGGAATCAAACTTTCTCCGGGCTTGGACAAGTTTAGCGGCTTTCATTCGATGCCCGCGCCAGCATTGGCTCCGGCGTTCAGTCACGATTTCGATGCTACCGTCCTTGCCACATCGTACTCCCTATCTTCAGCACCAAATAGACGTCAGTCTCCATCTAGAGTACCTACATGCAGGGTCATCCAAAACTCCCACCTGTAACTTTTCAACACCACGCAAAAAAATAGTCGGTGCTGATGACAGAGTGGCGTGACGTGTTTTACGATATATCGATACATCTACCATTTGAACTATGAAGAGGATCGATAGACAGGATGTTCGCAACAAACACCTTAATAATCGATTCTTTACCACAACTTCAAATGGAGAAATATCGATGATCGATCATTCAAGCCTCGATATTGGAGTCTTCACAGGGCTCCTGCACTTTTTTTGTTATACTTACAGAAATTTTCTGTTGTGAGAACAGAACTTGGGCCTTGAGCACAGAGTACTCTGTTATCGTGACAGAGACATCTGTAGCAGTCCATTTGGTCCGTTGGCCACTGGAGTCAGTTAGCAATTCGCAAATCCCCGCATCTTGCAACAGACCCATTAGGGACCTGTGCGTGCAAATATTTACTCATTTTTTGTTCGAAAAAAAATTGTCTCCTTTTAATTCTTTCTCTTTGTTTTTCTTGGTTGCAGTTTAGATAGAGAAAAGCCTTTCACCTTCCAGTTGGGCGTAGGACAAGTCATCAAGGGATGGGATCAGGGACTGACAGATATGTGCGTCGGTGAGAAGAGGAAGCTCACAATTCCACCAGCGATGGCCTACGGAGACCGAGGCGCCGGCAATGTCATACCCGGTGGTAAGTCTGACTCCTATTATGCAACTTCAAGCTGTTTACGGCAGAGTCCCAGAGTTAAGACAACTCACTTTTGGTTGGGCCAGGGTTGGGCTGAAAGTGGCCTAAAAAAAATCCAATTCTGATTGGTTCTCGCTCATGGAGGCCGAAACGAGTGCACCAAGATGGCGGTACCTTGAATGTGAACAAGAATAATGAAAATATTACCTAATTGTGGTTTATCAAGAGTAAATTGTTATTGCCATCGGTCGAAAATGAAAATAGATTAAGGAATTATTCACAAACCAATCTCATTTTCTTTTTAATTGATCAATTTGTTGATGTTGTTGTTTTTGTGTGACAGACATCGCAGGATTCCTGATCCTTATCCCTCAATATCGTTCGTTTGGGTGCACTCATTTCGGCCTCCATGGCCAGCCAAGGCCGGCTGCCAGTCAGCTGATAATCGAGTTGTCTTAACTCTGGGTATTAAGGGACTCTAGTTTACGGCAGCCGTCAATGATCGATCATCGATATTTCCCCATTCGAAGCCGTGCTAAAGAATCGATTATTGAGGTGTTCGTCGCCAACACCCTATTTACCGATCCTATTCCGTAGGTTTAAATAACAGAGCAATCGATAAATCGCAAAACTTGCGCCACGCCATTGGTTTAATGGCCTTTCTAGTAGCAATGACTCTTAAAAAGAAAATTCTACCAAAAGTTGTCAAAAAAAATGTGAAAAACTTGTAAATTTTAAGAGTTCGTAATTTTAAGTTAAAAACAAGAAGAAACATCCAACATGAATATGTTGGAAAAGCGTGCCGAAGAACTGAAATCTAGTGTGTGCACTATTTCCATTTCAACGAGATGTGTATAAATTAGTACTCTCTGCAAATTGGGGAGGAATTATTGATTTGATACCGTTGAATGTAAATACATTTTATTGAAAATACATTTTATTGAATAAAGAAAGTAACATAATTATATTGGATGAACAAAGAAAATAAAATCATAAATCATTTAACTGAATTGGTTCATTCAGAATTTCAAATTAAAGTTTGGAAATTGTTCAGTTTGTTGCGTCATGTTGGAGATTGCTCAGTTTGCAGCAGCAGAGTATGGAGTTTACTCTGTTTAATGAGTCAAACTTTGTCTTTTCTCTTTTCTTCGATTGATTTGTATTAAAATGAGACTTTAAGGTATCTTTTCTGGAAATAAAAAAAAAACCGTGACACAAAAAAAAAATAAAAAAAAAAAAAAAAAAAAAATGCAACTTACACTCAGAGAATCAACAAGGGAACCTAACCTCCAAAACTCTGCCTTCCAATTGGTCGAATTGGAGATTGCTCACTTCGCTGCAGTTGTAACTATGGAGATGCAGCCAACTTGGGTTTAACCGCTTTTGAAAAGACGCTGATTCGCTAAATAGTTATGGCGGCATTTAAACTTCTAATTTAAATCCTCCGAGCGTAGAAAAGCTTATTTGACGTACCTATGAAAGAAAATAATACGGTTTCCACGGGAAAATGTTCTCAAGGGTTTCCAGTAACAGGATAATTCGGTTTCTCGATGAATGACCTTCAGGGCTTGACACTATAACGGTTCAAAAACGGAAGAACGGATTCGACGGAAAAAAAATTCGGACCGCCCCTTGAAAAGCATTGGTCGATCGGTGTGCTGTACTACAGTACATCCGAGTGATTTCAAAAAGCGAGCCCTATAGGCACGCTTAAAAACTCGTAAAACACTTGTTTTAGGAAACCCTTTTGAGGAATTCTTTTAAAAAAAATAGTGTTATTTTAATTAAAATAAAACGTAAAATTTACCTACGTAAAAATCATCAAGCTATATCCTCAATTTTTATGGGCTGCAACTTTTCCTCTTATATTTTTCTGTTCACCACTCTTTTCCCCTCGTTTTTGCCTGCAAGAAGTTTATAAAAAAATACGTAAATTTTACTTAAAATTTACGTAAGAAAATTTACTTAAAATTTGTGCTCAACTTTATGTAAAAAAGCCCCAAATTGGGTTTCCGATACGAATATTTCAAGAGTTTTTACGTAATTTTCAAGTGGTTTCGAAGTAAATTTTAAGTTCTCTTAAAATTGCCACTACCACTAGGGCATCTGCAAATGACGTCAGGATGGTCAAGGAGTGCCAGACAAGTACCTGGCAAGTGGAGAGGGACAGGGGTGCAGAGAGTTCTTCGGCCTACGCACTTTCGAGTAGCTTGGGATCCAGTCTGTGCACTATGACATTGCGCGCTCGCATTAATTTTCTCAAAATTCAACAATCATACAGATATTTTTTCAAAAATTCAATGCTCTCGTACTAATTTTGTGAAAATGAGTTCATTTGCACTAAATATGGAGGTCAAAATAGTTGCACCACGGGTTTCGCCGCATCCAACTTTTCTACTCTGCGTTAAAGTCTCCGAGTCAACCGAGGAGAAGTTCTCGTTCTCCTTCATTTCTTGAAAGTGCAATTTTGCCCTCTTGGGAGTCAAATAGTTGGGGGCGTAGCCCCCGATACAATCAAGGAGGCTCAAGAAGAAATATAAACTTGATTTTTTTTTAAACGTTTTACCTACGATTCAATGCGATGAGCTTCAAGCCGGCTTCTTTTTATGTCATTGATTCGTGTTTTACGAACCCAGTCTGCTTTTGCTCCAATTCGATTACTCTAAATTAATCGGTAGCATAAAGCTATTTTCCTACAGGCTTTGGCTCCTGCCTCGCCGGGTTCTTGACTGGCCGCAGTAGGTTGATGCACGTATATATTTCTAACTGGACTTCTTTTTAACTCTTTCGCGAAAGACAGTGTGTTGGACTTTTTTTTTTGATAACGTGCTTCAAAAATTCAGCATAAAGCGGAAAATTTCAATACAGAGGGAAAAATCTCATATGAGCACAGTTTTTCCTCAAAGAGATATGCTGTTTGGCGCAACGCTAGTCACATCTATTCAGGAAGGCAACTGCAGACGCATAGTGTTGCGCACCAAGCAGCATATCGACGGTGTAAGTCGGCAATCACATAACTCGTTTGCGGTGTCTGAAAATCTCCGCCTCTATGTTATTTTTTAAAATGAGAACAAATTGACATCATTCCTTGAAGTTTTTGCAGAATTTTCTTCGCACAGAGAAGAAAAATCACGGCAGTTTTAAAGAATTGCCGTTGAGTAGTTTTCCGTTTAAAAAATAAAGTATGACAGAAAGTCTGCGACGACGTCGCAAACCGAGTTATGTGATTGCCGACTTACACCGTCGATATCTCTTTAAGGGAAAACTGTGCTCATGTGAGCTTTTTCCCGCTGTATTGAAATGTTCAGCTCTATGCTGAATTTTTAACGCACGTTGGCAAAAAACTCCTACGTACTGTCTTACGACCCGTGCGTCTACTGCAATCAGTTTGTGTCTTCCGCGAAAACTAATATGTTATGATACGAGCTCTAAATTTGTTTCTTGAAGTATCCATGAAACGACTCTCACCTATTCGTTATGTAGGGCAGCAGCCCATACTTTACGTGGACAACGTCTTAATACATTTAAACAATCAAATCATTTTTCGGAACATTGACAATGATATGATAAAAATATTTATACTTCATCATTTTTACTTCATCGGTGCAATGGCTGGACGCTGGAATTAAGTTGAGTTAACGTGTGACGTGTAAGGCATTGTCTCCACGGGGCGTTTTCATGGGATTTGTCCCAAGTTTGAACCACAAGAATCGAACTTGTGGGATTTTTCCCAGTTACCTACCGCACAATGAACCGAGTCAATTAGAGAGGTTGGACATGAGCTTTTAGACTAAAATTGCAAATTTTGAAGTTTATTTCGTCACATTTTAAATTTCAAGGGGTGCCTCCAGAGGAAAATTTCACGAGAAAGCCAACGGAATCACCTTTAGAATCCCAAAGTTTTGCATAATTGGAGTTACAAGCGTGTAATGTTTCCAAAGTTTGACCGATCTCTCCCATTGACTCGATTCACTGTGTGCCGTCTCCACGAGACGGGGCTCTTCCGTGCCTGCGGCAAGTTTGCGCGGGAAGATAAACTAGTAAAAATCTAGTATCTAACCGGGATCAAAATGATAATTGACCACAATTACGATTAAACAAATTATTTTAACCAACCAAACACGAACAATCGAGTAAACAAGAAAAAAATATCGCACGGTTTGCTTCCACTTTTTCTCCCTCTCTCAGCTGGTCTTACATATCGTCGCTTGGCTGACATGAGGGCGTAACTACACATTGAGATGAGCCCGGAAAAGCATTAAAATGTATGGAGGACAGGGTTCACTGTAGGCAGAGTGTAGTTACGCCCTTGTGTCAGGTAGCCGACGGTATCTCTGAAAGGGGTCTAAGGACCATACTTGGTATTGAGAAAAATATTGACTACTCAATATTTTTTCCAGCTTCGCAAGTGTGATTTGTCCTCGGAACAAATTCCGTGAAAACGTCCCGTGAAGACAAGGCCTATGAGAGAAACATGCGCAATGTGCATGCGTAGTTAGTATCGCATGCTAAGAACACTCAATTTCATTATAACCTCTGGATGCAACTTTTCGCGCTCGACAGATGTGCGTGTTGCATATTCACGGAAGTGAAGGAGTTTTAATTCTCCAGGTACTCGCCTCTCACCACTTCATCCGCGGGGCGGCAGCAGCACTCAGCAGGTTGTCCTGCACCTCCTGCGAGAATCCAAAATGACAAGCGTCATAATCCTTATTTTAGTCTACTAAGACACAGGACGGGAGTAACCTACTTGCCGCCCCCTTCTCATTCGTTTTGAAACATCAATAAAAACCATCAAGTGAACGGGCCGGAGGGGTGCATAAGACGCGTTTACTCGTGTTGGACACATTTTTTGCGCAAGCCCTGTCAACACTACTAGCAAAAGTTCACGGAACTTTGCGCGAAAATTAATTTCCGTAAACATATTTCTGTGTGGACAAGGTTTTCCATTTGTAAGAAATGAACGAAAAAATCATGCAAGAACAAAAATAAATGTGGTTCAATAATTGTAATTTCCGCCGCCGCGCCGCGCTGAACGCACTATGTTTGACGCAATGCGTGAAGTATTAATGCAGTCTTGCAGGTGCTAATATGTGTTACATGCCGACCGCCGCGCTGAGAGCTACTCCTTTTCATCTCAAGTCATCATCATCATTGATCTCTGCGCCGCGTCGCTCCATGCCAAAATGCGTGTTTGGTTTCTCTCTTAACTCGACTGATTAAAGGTGCTGTCTCTTGTGTCACCGAAAGACGCTTTCCTCATTGGTAATTTTTTTTCTGAATCCGATTTTTTTATACCTATATTTAAAAAAATGGCAAAATTTCTCTTTCTCTTCTCTTCATTTTTTCGTCTTTATTGTTTCAGGAGCAACTCTTACTTTTGAGGTAGAATTAATAAACATTGGTGATCAGGCACCTACGACAAATGTATTCAAAGAAATTGATATGGACGCAGACAAACAGCTTTCAAGGGATGAAGTGAGCGAGTACCTGAAAAAGCAAATGGTGGCTGCTGAAGGTGCCGAAGGTGGTGAAGACGTAAAACAGATGTTGGAGGAGCATGATAAATTAGTCGAAGAAATTTTCCAACACGAAGACAAGGATAAAAACGGATACATAAGTCATGATGAATTCTCAGGGCCCAAACACGATGAACTGTAGAGGATGAACCAGAGAGACACTATCATTTATAATGCTCGAATGTGATTTAAATCAGATTTTCCCTTTTTCATCATTGCCGTCCAATTTTTTATTTATTCATTCCGTTTTTTTTAAATTTGTTAGTTTTTTTTTACTTTTATTAACATTCTTGAAAGCTCCGTTTGTCTTTTCTAAGGGTACCTATCTCTTGTTTTTTGATGCCCAATGAAATAAATGTCAACAATTGCTCATATCGAGTAATTTTTAAACGTGTCTTGACATTTTTATAAGTAGATTATAATATTGGTGGGTACTTAATCGTGTTTGTGTACATTTCTCCACGTGCTTTTGCTGTTGTACGAAAGTGGACTTAAAATGTAATTCTGTAAGTAAATTCAGGGATACCACAAAAAGTGACACAAGTTTAATGCCACCTTAAATGTGGTCTTGGGACGAATTTATATTTAATTTTCATACCAACTGCATTTATGCGACCTTCCACAGGAAAAAATACCCCAGTATGAAGAGGCAAAATTTTCAATAGAACCCATTTTGTCAAGTTTGATAAAAAAAAAAAAAAAAATCGTAATTTGAGATTATAAGGAACAACTACCTCGGGTGCCTTATGAAGTAAGTTGCGGGCAGTTTAATTTTTTTTTGCGCCAACAAAAATTATGAGGATGCTTTATAATTTGTCATTCTTGGACCCTTAACATGGCAGATTTGAATTTTACGAAGGTGCAGCTAATTCCATGTTTTAACCAGCAAAATCATGTTCCTTGAACTGGAAATTTCAAAGCACCATGACACCAGTTTAGTTCGACATTTTTGGGCTCTTTTCATTCCAAAAGTTTTGTTTCTAAAGTCTTCATGCTCTAGTATTTGTTACTCAATTCTGGGATTTTGAGGATTAATTAGATCCCTTTTCAAGTCGACGGTCACAAATGTATGTATTAGAAGAGCAACATGTAAAATCAAAAAATTGTGTGTACTAGGTGATAGGTATAGCCCTTTGGCATGCCATCAAAAACTTGAAACTGCCTCTATTATGAAAAGGAACATGGGCATAGGCATGGGTTTAAAAACCTTAGCTGCTTGCTGCTCAAAAGCAACTCCTTTTTTTTTTTTTTTTTTTTTTTTTTTTTTTTTTTTTTTTTTTTGGCGTGAGTTACGCTCATTATATATTTGCTGTGCATTCCATTGAATAATGATGAGACATTTTTCTTTTCAAACATGCTAGCCAGGCTGCTCTAGAGAAATGATAATCAAAGCAAACATTGAAAAGCCATCCTTACCTTTCCTCTATGTACCTAGTTCTTCAAAACTCAAATTGTAACATCAAAATTAACTTAGTTAACTTAAACAATAGAATGTAGAACATTATTAGTTTTTTCCTTTATTTGCTGGAAAAAATTATCTTGTCACCATTTGAAAATTTTAACAATGAATGAATATCTATAGATATATTTTTGTTACATTAGCCAATATGTTCAGTTTTTTCCCCCTAAAGATTGTAATTCAGCAAAACAAGCATTTTATGCTTTCCAAAAAATTCAACCATTTCTTTGTGGGGATATGGTGATCAGGTCTGATTTGATCGTTTCCGGTGGGATTTTGAAAAGAATTTACACTAAAATAACTGATTGTCCCGAAAAACATTAACATGATTTTTTGCATGAACTTTATTTTGACTTTTAGATTCAAATCGTACGTTTTCATAATGTGGAGGAGTTCCCATGATTCTATAGAGACGGTTGCAGTGCAAAAGAGAGTTTCCAGAGTGTTATTCATATCAGTCTAGCTGAAACAGATTGTCGGTAAAAGATCACTCGTTGAGCGGTAGTGAATCGTCGGACAACATATCCGCAGCCGATGTGAGAGCGCAGTTCTCATGATCGTACACGCATCTCATAGGTGTACGTGATCCTAACGTTACATCGACTGGGGAAACTTCAATGTGAACATTAAGAGATTTTAAGGGGAAAATTAAATCTCGGGTGGTTTGTGATCCGACAACCCACACGTACACCGTATACTGTCTAGCCAATATCTCGAAGACTCTCTCCACTGATGAATGGGGAACCGTTCTATCGTTCCAAGCAAGGATTATAAGGATTATATTGAAATAAGATCAATTTTTTGACATTTCCTCCTTCTTGATGTGAATTTATCGAAAGAGATTCACTCATTTTAAGTGCTCAATCCTTGGGTAGGTACTTAGGTTCTTGCTCATTAGTTGTACGTTTTTCTGCTCAATTGCATTAGAGGGAAATTTCAGGCTAGCACAACATATCTTGCTTTAGATACTAATTCTCATGCATTTAAGTAAATAAATTATTTTTACTTTTAATTGTAAGCAAAGGTCCTCCATTTCGTGTGAGATTTTTTTCTCACGCTACAAAAATTTTGTGTTTATTTTCTATGTACATTTTGGCCATTGATACAATGCACAACAGAGGGAGCAAAAAATGCTTCTAATTTTTATTGGGTAAGGCAGAGATGATGAATGAAGGAATTTAGGTCTCGTCTGCACTAAGTTTGAATACCTGCATTCAAAGGCATATAAAAGGCCACATCGACCCTTTTCAAAGTCCAATTAAGGAACCAAAATGGCATCAAACTAACGCTCAGCTATCATCAGACCAATTTTAAAGTGATGAGCCCCTTCAATCAATCTGCTTTTAAATCATGCATTTTGACTGAGTGCTGCTAAGTTCCTCACAACATGACTCAACACTTGCAATTTTATTCTGAACAATATAACTCTGATTACCACTTTCTCCGCGTATTACGATAAAATAATAAACAAAGACTGGAGAATTTTGGAACTTTAAGTACCTGGTAGATGGAATCTCTTGACTCAGTAGTATATAGCTCATGTTATTTGCTGAAACGCGCCTCAAGCACATGCTCTGGCATGTTGCTATGATTAAATTTTAACTAGCAGTCTTAAATAATTCGGAAATTCATAAAAGAAGATTGATATCGGTTGAGGATTTTTTGAAAAAGAAAGAAATATACATGTTTGTACCTCGTTCCAATTGACAAGGTTTGTAAAAAAAAAGGCATGGTGCATACAATGGTCAGCATGTCCCAAAATGAGACGATTTTAATTTTTTCTTTTGCTCTCTCTCTGTTCTTGAATTGTTGGTTGAAATTTGAGGAATATATGATACAGTGAAAATATTTTGTTCCAGAGAGATACGCAAACAGAAAAAATGAATTGCACATTGTACTCTACATATGCTTCCTTGTTTTCTTACTTTGATTCGATAAAATTGATTGATGTATTCAAAATCATATTGAGACTATAGAATAATTAAGTTAGTCCTTTCTGAGATTATGCACTGGTGGACCCCTTTACAAAGTTCACAATTGTAGATTTTCGAAACAAGAGAAAGTGCCATCAAGGGTGCTTTTGTTGTGATACGATTTTTTTCTACTAAGCCTTCAATTCTTCTCAATAGGAATAATTTAGAATGATTTTCAGATAATGTATTGAACAAATTAAGAGGAGATACTTCCAAGATGAACTCCTCAAGAATCTTGTTAAAAACCGCAATTTTTTCACGTTACTCTTTCTGTCTTCCATTAAACAATTGCTATGTTCAAGGACACTGTGGATCATTGTACAGTTGTTTCACAGCTATTTTTATGATACTCTCAATTTCAGAATAGTGTGTTTTTATAATAAAAATGTACCTAATTTTGTTACTCTATAGAGATGTTTTGAAAACTGAATAGATGAAATAAAAATCAAATTTGTTTTTTCTTTCCTATTAAATATTGTTATTGGTTTTTTTAATTTTTTCAATCAAAAGAATGAAAAAAATGAGCACCACCCAAAAATCTCTGAAGACATGCAAACAAAGAAGTTGTTGAGGAGAAATTTGATGGCCAAAGTGCGAAACCACATATCTACATTGCAATGATTCAAAATTTTCGCTCCTACTTTACTTTGACAAAGAAAAACAAGCCAACTTTATGGCTTAAAATGTATACAGAATATTCTGCCAACAGAAGAGAAAGGTTAAGGATAAGGACATATTCCAGGAATTACGTTGAGTAGCTTCCCAAAGCAAAATAGAGCATAAAAGGAAGTTTGCAATGTTGCAAACAGAGATATGCGGTTTTGCACTTTAGTCATCGAAGTTTACTTGAACGGAAGCTCTTATCCTGATTTAAGGTTAATGACTTGGTATATTTATGACCTCACACCGGTGCGTAATAAAAAAATCACAAGGGTATTCAACTTACATACAAGACATCACAATTTATTAAAAGAAAGATTAGGAAAAGTAGTAAATTTCACTAAAACTTTTACAGTCATTAAATAAGTAAAAGAAGGGGAAATAATTAAGACTTAAATTTAATGTGCTTGACTGAGAGAACAATTAAGGAGAAAGAATGTCTAGTAGGCTTCCAAAATTTTGCTTCCTGTTTTTACTGTAGATTAATTTGACAATGTGAAAGAACGGGATGGTTCTGAAAGTCTTGATATTTGTCTTGAGAAAGTAAGTGGAAACAGAAAAAGCTGACTAGATACAGCTTCTTTGTGAAGTAACCTTTAAGGTTTCAAAAAAAACCTCATTTAGCTCATTAGGTTACAGGTTTAAAGATTTGTTTAAAAAAATTTCATTCCTCAGAATATGCAGATTGATTTTTTCTGTTTCCTCATACGTACATATCAAAGGCTAATAGGAACTTGACTGGAACTTCACTGCCATATTTATGGATGACAAAAACTACAAAGGAATAGGGCTCTTTTTCTCGTTTACTATCTACAAAGTTAATTGACTTAATTTGAAATTATAACCTTGATAGGAGTGCAGGGCAGGTCACTTTAATTTCCACAAACATCATTTTGAAAGTAAATTTTTGATTAACCAGCCTGATGAGAAAATATGTGAATAAAACCAATGCTAACATTGACCCTTGATAGGACTGTAAAATTTTTCTCCAAAAACATCATGGATACCATTCCATTGGTTAGTGTGAGAATTTTAAGAAAACTCAAAATAGAAATGACACTCAACATTGGCTCTGCGGACTTGCAGACCATTGTTATAAAAATAACCAGGGGAAAAAGAGACACTAAGGATTGCTTCTCTGAGCCAATTCCGGGCATTTTCAATGAGCGATGATGATTTGGAAACTAAACTAGAGAAACTTCATAATACGCAGTTAGTAACTGGAAGCTACAGATTCTAACAAAAGTAATTAACAAAGAATGAAAACAATAGGAAAAAAATAATAACAAACAACAGTGCAGAATACTTATTTCTGAAACAGATAGTAGTTTTTCAAGAGATTGAACAATTAATAAGAATTACTCATCATTTAAAATACAAAGGATTGAAATAGGACTTGGTGCTTGAGAATACTTGTATACGATTTTTACGGAATGAAAAATTAAAAAAATCAGGGTTTACAGACAAAGTATAAAAAAAGTATTGACAGAAAATGTCAAAAGGTACGGAAATTAAATAGAAATAAAAATTCAATTCTGAAAATGCAACAGTACAGTTTTTCATACATGTATTTTTGAAACAACTTGTGAAGAATCAATGCTTCAAATTAAACAGGAGGGTGCAGTCTAGAAGCTTTCGATGTACGATGCGAGATACTTTTTGTCCTCTTCACTTAGCCCGTTCCTCAACGTCCTTTGCCTGACTGCAAAAAGTAGTAAATAAACAAATTCAGAACAATATGACGGATGATTTAGATAGAAAGTTAGAAAAACTTCAAAAAAGTAACCTCCGCTTTTATTGGTAGACTGATCACATCAACAGCTACAAAAAAAAAAAAAAAAAAAGAGGCAATAAGTTGACCAGGGAAGCCATACATGATGCATAACAGCTTTTGGGCAATCAATGCTTGCAGAAGTATTCACTGACACATCATGCTTTTAAATACACTTTTCATAAGATTTCAAGAGTACTTGAAAAAGAGAAAAAAAATCATTGGTTGATTATGTCATATTTGTATGATACCTATGAATGCTTCAGAACAAACCAGATGCAGGAGACTATACCTTTGAAGTCAAACAATTTTTTTCACTGGGTCGGACTGACTACTTTTTTCTGAGCTAAAAAAATGTAGGACAGTTTGGAAAAATAACAGAGATTATTGGGGGAAAAAAACTAGGCCAAAAGGGACATTGCCAGAAGGCCTTTGCTACAAAAATGAATTATTTTGTTTATGTTGGTTTTGCCCAAATTTTCGGTTGCTGTTTTTTTTTTATATCTTTTTGTTAAGAAAAAATGTGCTAAAACTTTTCACGGCGCTACCAAAAAACTTACGACTCTGCTTAGACATACATATAACACACCTCCTTCCTGATTAAGTTATTGAATGTTGGGAAGACTGAAAGTTTACATCTGAATAGCCATTGCGTGGCAGGCATTAGATACGAGTCGCTGCTGAACAACAATGCCTCCAAGCTCATGACTTCAGGAAAAAGGACATTTTAGCAAAAATTCAAGTTTGATGAAATATTATAAAATAAAATGGACTAATGTAGATCAGTAGAATAGGAAAAATTGATATAAAATAAAATGAAGTAAAAGAAAATTATCTCAAACAAAATGAAATACAAAAAATTACACTAAACAAGGAACATTAAATATTTAGGCAGCCATTTTAAATGAGACACTAAACAAGGCCTGAACTACATATACAAAAAAAAATCACATGATTTTGCCTCAAAATCTTTTGTTGAAAACGATTCACACAATGGTTAGTCCCAAATCAACTCATGAACGAGCTACTAACAATAATTTTTAACACAGGTCAAATGGAGGAAAGATCAAACCGTGGTGATTCGTCAAGCTCAACTGGCGCGGTCAAACTGGCATACGATAGGTATATCGCATTGATTAGGTCAAGAATCTCGGCAGATTTTGAATTTTTAGCAAAAAAAAAGGACAATAGCCCCTGCGCATGAGCCTAAAGAATTATTCTAAACCCAAAAATTGGCGAAATTCAGAGAAATGAAAGCAGAATAGTGTTTGGAAAAAAACCTCGCATTTGATACAGAAATCGATAGCTGAATCGAATGCGAGGTTTTTTTCCAAACACTATTCTGCTTTCATTTCTCTGAATTTTGCCAATTTTTGGGTTTAGAATAATTCTTTAGGCTCATGCGCAGGGGCTATTGTCCTTTTTTTTTGCTAAAAATTCAAAATCTGCCGAGATTCTTGACCTAATCAATGCGATATATTGCATGCCAGTTTGACGTCACATGAGCTTGACGAATCATCTTATCAGAGATACACCATCTCAGCTAGAGTGTGACAGGGAGTTTGCTGTTTAGCAAATGGAGGTGCATGATTTCACACTCTGCCCACGATTTTTGAAGGTTGACAAGTTTATTTTGTATGGGATATCCACATAAGATAAACTGTGAAAAACTCATTTAAAAACTCTAGGAAAAACTTCTTGTACTGTCAGAAGCCCTGGTTTTTTTTGTAAAAATATATAATAAAACAGAGGAATAACCCTGTTATTTTACTGTAAAAAATAATCAACTTCATGCCTGGAACAATAGATTATTAAAATGGAAAAAGTCAAGCAAGGGTGAAGGTATCAAGCTCAAAACAAAAATCACTCGAGGTTAGAAATACTTGATTACCAATTAAGGTGATGGACTAGAAGATTCATGATCAGGTGAGTTTACATTATCACGAGTCCTTGAACGCTTAATGACTGCATGAAAAGAGATGAGAAATTGATCAAACTTACGGAGAAAATATTTTATTGAAGGGGTGAGAGCCAGAAGGGGTAATCACATTGCCATGTTGTAATATTTCACTTGCTGTTCTATTCATTTATTAAAGAACAGATACAAAAAAGAAATTTTCCTGTCATTTCCACCCACTTATTAATGAACAAAGAAATATATTGTCGGTGAAAATTTGCAACCATTCAACAAAATGAAAGTCATTTTCACCTAGTTTTTCCTTGCCTATGTGATAGTATTAATATTATTCATTATTCTTAGTATTATTTCTTCTTACTTCTAGACAGATACGACACCATTGAGGTGAAGAGAAGAACTCGGCGCAACCATTGTTCATTTGTTTGAAAGGTTCTCACCCCTTCAAATTGGACCGCTATGAATGTATGTTAACCTACACAACAATTTCTAATTCATCTTAAAAGGAGAAATTTTATAAGAGCAGTGAAGTTTTTTCTTGTGAGATTCTTTTACTTTTCTTCTAATTTTTGGTCTTTGATTTTCTCATGTTTAACAGAAGGTCAAGGAAATAGTTTTACACTGAAATACATGCTGAAGGAAAAAAAGTGAAAAGGACATTAAAGCACTTTTCGATGCATTCATTAATGCGTTAAAATCAGTGGAATAGCTGTACTGCACTGTTAGCCCAGATTATAATCAGTGTAATCTTTGGTGAAAATTACAATTTTCTCTGAAAGTGATGGCGTAAAAAAAGAAACAAATAACCTCAGTTGATGGCCATTAAGATTTTAAGACCTCTTCTGCCACCGTTAAAGATACTGGAACTCCATCTGGGGCAAGTGGGTTTCTTTGTGAAGTTTAAAACGATTTTGAGGTATAGAAGTTTTTTAATTATTTTAATAGAAGGAGTGGTTAGCAGCTTTCAGAGTTGGAAGAAAAAGCACTTCAAAAAAATCTAAGAGGGCTTGAGCAATTCATTGACTGAATTTTAGCAAAAATACCACATTTTAAGAGATAATTCAGTTAGATAACTGAGAGGAGGCAAAAAGCAGAAAGACCAAAAATAAAAACCTGACAACTTTGAACATCATAACAAACTGTTTTTTAAGACAATGATTTTTGATTATTTCTTTCAAGACAGAGCAAAATCACTGACGATGTATAATGTTCTACTTCATCCATCTATATTTTATAAACAGAATAATTTGGTTTGTAGTTTCAGAATAAGTTGAAGACGAGCCGTATGGGTGGTACACAAAAATTGCTGATGATCCGCAAACCTTGCATGGGTGGAAATAAAATTAAGCAACAAAGCTTTGGTCTCTCCGAATCCAAAGATTGTTTTAAAATTTTGTTACAGAGTTCAAGTTGTAATTTAACCATTGTTCTAACCAGGTAGTTTATCATAGTTGAGGCATTGCAAATATGAAGCTACAATTATAATTACTTACTAATAAATTAATAAAACATGTCAAAGATAATTATTAATAAACGGTATGATTCGAAAACTGAACCAAAAATTTGGATGCTTCTTAAGTTTTACAAGCAACTCAAAGAACTTTTAATCTTCGCTGTAAAACAACATTTTTAAACGAATTGTAGCATTTGTACATTCTCATCAATCTTTACATTAATTTGTCTCAACGAGACGATAAACTAGCTCGGTTGTGATCTCGAGAAAAATCAAAAGGAATAAAGAAAAAACTTCAAACTGTCATTGAAATTTAAAAAAAAGGAAAACCAAATTCAATAATCAATCATGTGTCTTACTTAGTTTCTCCTTCAATTATTGCTAAAAATCAGCAGGATTAAATACTAAATTATCCTCGGGTAAATGGCTGCCCTAAAAACACAAAATGAATTTTAAATAATACTGCCGACACTGAACTAACCATGTAGTATAACCAGACAAGATGCTGTAAGACATGAAAGAACGGTTCCTGGTGCATTCTGATAAAACTTTGAGGAGTCATCTGTCAAATTGAAAGTTAAAAAATCATGCAAAGCGTACGATTGAAACCATGATAATTGTATGTGAGAGATGCACTGTTCTCTGTTCAACAGAGACCAGAAAATACCCCTACGTTCTTTTTCTTCATATTTCTGAACCATAATAATGTTAATTTCTCTCCTTTTCTGCCCTACAATAACATGTAAAAAGGGGTGCATCTTGCGAAACAACAAGTGAAAATCTCTGCTTTATTTTGTAAATTGTTTCATTTCTATGATTAAGGCATCAGATGAGCCTTTGAGTAACTCATTAAAATTTTATCAAAATTCACCAGAAGCCTCTCCTAAAAGTCTCAGCGTGTCTTCCTTTGGGGATGTTGTAAAAAGGGAAGTAACTAAGGAAATGTTGTTGAAGAGTATGTAAATGCATAAAATTGCCTAATGTAAACTTGATTAAAGAAAAACATACAAAACTCGCACTTTCATACACCTGTACTTGTAAACTGTGTCTTGCTTGCTTGTATGTACCTGGCAATGGGGCTGTTGTTCCTTTATGGGGCAAAAAAATTTAAAAGACCCAAGACATCCTGAAATCCTCCTTTAACTTGAGATTCCTATATTTTTGAAGCTATGGATGAATTCAATGCAAAAAATTATGTGGGATTGACATTTTTCATGAATTTTGGTCCATAACACTTCCAAAAATAAAAATAAAAAACAATTATTTTTCCAAAAAATTGGAGAGGCCGTAACTGTAGCTTCTAAAATTTTATAAAAGAGCAGGGTATCATTTACACTCGTACAGTATAGCCGTTCAGCACCCTGTGTTGAACCAAGAAAATTTGAGTGTTCAACTAATTGGCTTAGGAAAAAAGTGGTTCACATAAATCCAGCTCCCCCTACAGTCGCGTTTTGTATATCTGTCAGAATTATATGACACTCATCAGATTACAGTAACTTGACAATACAGTTACAATAATTAGATTTTCATTTAGGTGCTTTATTTCATGACCAATTGGATAAGGATACAAGGTGAAGGTGTAAAGTTTTAATACTTACAGGATTTTCGATCCGCGTTTCGAATTCTCTTGCGCTCTCTTGGAGCAGATCGAGTGGCTGGAATTTTTGTTGCTGTTTTGACAAGAGTTTCTAGAAGCTCATCATCTCCATCAGTAAGGTGCCCATTTTTGCGTTGGTCCGGCGATCCCTTTCCTAAAATGAAAGGATTCATTACTTCAACTCGATGTGCAAATCGAGGCGCCAAAGTAAGATTTTGTGTTTTATACAGCTCTAAATGAAATCTAAATACCACATCATCAAAGTTAAAAGTAACAAATTTTTAGGATTTTTTTGGTCTTCACCTCTGACTGGTAAAAAGTATCAAAAATTTGTTGTGTTGGTGGAAGTAATTTAAAAATAATATGGCAGCTTAAATTTGGATAAGTTAATAAATGGATCTTTTTGTTGTCTTTATTTACAAATATAATTGTAATATAAATTATGAATTTTATAATTTTATGAGTATTGACGTTTTTCTAAAAATTTTGCCATATATTTGTAACCACCTATACTTGAGAGATACAAAAACCAAGTAGTTTGAGGAGTCGAGTAGTCCTCTACAGAAATAGAGACGTTTTAATATTTTACCATTTGAGTTTTTCTTTTGTCGTCTCCAAGGTAAAGATCCGTGGAGAGGAGATGCTGAATTGGGCCTATCAATTGATTCATTTCCTAGGAGTTGCCTTAGCTCTGCATCTGCACGATCCTCTTTTGTGTCCACTTTGCCAATCTTGAGAAAAAAGCATAATCATTGTAGAAAATACCAGTATAAAGTAAAAAAAATAAAATAATAAAAAAATAAGCCCCCTAGTCACTTAAAATTTTTACAGTTGAGATAACCCACGGATGGTATAGCAAAAACACTTTAAACCGGTGTTCTGCCTTCCCCTAAAATTTTAGGAGCCACATTGGCCAGAAAGCCCAGTTTTTAGGAGCCATCTACTATTTTTTAGGAGACAAATTAAATTTTTGCATACGGGCCATGGCGATGCTGCGAACGGTGCATATAGAGAACGCACCATCGCTACCGCTGCTTCCAGATTGCGAGTTCAATCTGTCAAATTTTTTAGGCGCCTCGATGGTCCAGCCTCCCCAATTTTTAGGCACCAAGCCCCAATTTTTTGGCGCATGGCGACCGTGGAAGGCAGAACACTGCTCTAAACTTTCAAAAAATGTAATGGAGCTGAGAAAAAAGATTTCCAGGCATAAGTTGGGGATGTTTCTATTGTTGCATCAGATTAAATGTTGTTTTCATTCATGAGTGAATGAGCTCAAGCACATTTCTTGGACAATAATTGACTGAAGGATTTGACATACTCTAGTTTCAATAAAAAACAAGCATAGAATGGTAAAGTTTCCTTTGCCAACATCTGTTTACTATAAGGAATGACAATTTGTTGGCCGAGAGTCTTGTGAAATAAATTTGCAGTTTGCAAGCAAAAAGCCCCGTACATTTATTAAAAAAATCCTGAAGGTTTTTGGTGTCTTCGCACCATCATCATAAAAAGGATGAGGATTCTGCAGAACTGGTCATAATAGTTGCATAACAGTAAACTAATAATGACAGCCTTTTGTATCATACAGGATAGAAAGACTAATATTGACGATGCTGGAATGTTTCAGACTTTTTATAAGACATGTTATATTTTTTTTTTTGCCTCATAAACTCTAGATTTCTTTTACCCAGAACTTGACAACCATACCGCCATCACTCTAACAATTGGACGTATTTCTGCCAAACGGAACTATGTGCATTATGACGTGAGCCCTGTTACGCATATATTCTTACGGGTCTCAGGGCTCATGTTTTTATGCACATAGTTCCGTTTGGTAGAAATACGTCCAATTGTCGTTCAAAATCATATTTTGAATTTTGTCCAATTACAATGATTACTGGGAAAATGATTAAAATTATATACCATAAAACACGTAAACAGAATGCAATTAAAACTTTTCTTTTATATTTAGCATTAGCAAGATGCGTTTCAAAAGTTGTTTACTAGAGGTTTAGATGTATATTGACTGATTGGTAAATTAAAATATTTTAAATTAAATACTTTCTGTTAGCAAGTACAGCAATGCCTTAAGAATTTTATTAATTATAAGATAAAACCAAAAAAAGTCAACAGAACCTAAAAGTTCTTAATATGTACCTCTGTGATCATTTTTCCTCGAGTCTTATTTCTCTCTCGATGATTTGCTTTCTTCTCCAGTTGCTGAAGCACACGCTCACGAGTTGTCCTGTATTCAAGTGCAAACTCGGAGATAATCCTGCACAGTTCATTTGGTTTCGTTAAACAAACTCGATGAAGGGGAATGCCAAGCCATAAGCAAAATTTATGGTACCGGTTGATCACTCTGCGATGAACTTTACATAAGACAATAATGCGCTCCGCACAGTCTGCAAGAAAATCTGACATCCTGAAAAACAAGTTATACAGTGTGTTATTTTACATCTACACCATACATAAAGGGGATCTACTAAAACAGGCTGGCCAAAAATCAGTGCTTTTGCCTTAAAAAATCAGTACTACTTCCGGACTTTCTGGAAATTCCGGACTTGTAGACACCTTGACATATTATCCAAACCAGAAGTATCTAAACTCAGGCTATCCAAACTGACTTTCAAAGCAGGAGTTGATTTCATTTTCTACAATCCGTTTTCCTCTTTCCATCCTGAAGGTAGTGGTGGAGCAATTAATATATATTTTCCTCCCATCTATGCTCCTTTATTGCTGGTTTCCCAAAAATTTGCATTTCCCAGATCATGAATTAATTTCCTATTTTTAATACTTGCATTAATGAAAAGAGAATATACATTCCTCATTTTAAGCATCAGGAAAACATTATCTATACACCAATTGTTTTTATGGCATTACTTCAAATTTCTACTTTTACATTACATAATAACATTGAAGGATGTTAAAATAAGCTAATCATTGACGACTTTTTAACTGCCCAAATGATTCATTATTTAAACGATCCAAAAAAAACCAAACAAGTCAAAATCTGCCACAAAAGTTTGCATAAGAAATTTCTAACAATTTTTGAAAGTAACATGCGAGTGTCATGAACAGGGTTCCAAGTGTGTTTTTATCATAGGCTTATTTTCAATGTTTTCAGCACATCTGTCACCAGAGCCAAGTGATGGCTATCCTTCCCTAAGTTTTGATTATACAAGGTTTACACACATACTGGTAGAAGTCTTTGTGTCTGGTTTTTAAAAAGATTAAACTATGAACTAAAATATGGACCAAATTAAAATATTAACCGGGGATGAAGCTGGAGTTCACAGGAACCTAAAAGAAACAATCGGAAAAGAAGACTTGAAGATGGGAAATCTCCCGAAATGGCCATAGTTTAACAAGAACAGAACATCAGAACCAAGACATCTAGGGGAAAAAGGTAACTTTTTTCCATAAAAAATATAAACATGAACCCTGATAGAAATGAACAACCTAAGAGATTATAAAGTATGGACTAGTAAATGAAAATCTACAAATAAGATTTTATGGCGAAATATGCTAAGAAAGGAAATTCAGTCGAACTTACTTTCCCTTCATTGCATTGCTACCATCATGCTTGACGATAACTTTTAGGTGGTCGAAGGAAGCTTTACATTCCTGCTCCATCCTATGAATTGAGAGAGCCAACTCATCAAAATCAACTTTTGATGCTCTGGTTACAGCACCAATCTGTGAAGAATAATAACAGGTGATCAAATTAAACGATTTCTTCAAATGCAAATACACCTCTAGTAGTACACAGTTCTAATGAATACAAGCCTTTTTTTTAAAAAAAAAATAATCCATTTTTATTAATTTTGTTGACAGATTGGAACCGGGAAGGGGGGGGGGGGGTTAGCGTCCTGCCCGAAGGCCTAATATGTACATTTTAAAAGATAGATCCTATTTGCTACATGTTCTTTGCCCCCTGTTATATCCCTTTTGAAGTGTTTACTTAATACTAATGTTTCTTAGAAGGTCCTCTTCCTTTTTTTTCCCTTCACTGATGGCTCTGGAACGCCTCGGTAACGCCATTTAGCTTTTATTCGAGGGAGGATGGTTTTCAATTGGGGTTTTTCTTCTTGTCATCTTAAAGTTGTGCTTATTTTGCACTTAATGTTTCTTTTATATAGTTGTGGATTAATTTCCATGTTTTTCAGAGGGTACAATAGTAAAATTGTGTTTTCTGGTGTGATTTTGTTTCATGTGTCTTCTTTTGATTTTCTTTGTGATGTACATCTTTCTGTGTAGTGGTAGAAGGTGTGTACTGGGTTGTCTTCTATATTTTGTTTATAGCTGGGGCAATATGGGTTGTTTCTCTTTTTGAAGCGATAAATGTAGCTTTGCAAGGGTTCCATGTCCTGACATGAACTGGGACAAGTATTAGTCAACAGTTCCATGCCTTCTGAAGAGCCAGGCATGAAGTTCAGGGATTTGGTTTTTTATCCAATGATTTTTCAGTTCTTTGTCCTTTTCTATCTACCATCTCGCCATTTTGTCCCTCTCTATCTCAACTGGGTCTTCCTTGTTATATTTAGTGACTCTTTCTTCAATTAATATTTCCGTTGAAGGTATTCCTGAGAAATATAAGCCAGTTGTAAATACTTTTCTTCCAGCACTATTTTACTGACCGTTTGCAAGAAAAAATCATATCTTTTCTTTTCTGTTAATGGTCAGCGATACCATAACATCTCTCAGAACTTTTCACTACTGATTTGTTCCTTTTTTCCTCTAAATTTTGTTTTTCTTTTCTTTAGGAAACTTGGTACAACTTCTAAGTTCATTATACCTATGGAAAACTGCACTTTTGTTCTTCACACTTTAATAAATAGGTCTGATGTCATGTTTCTAAAACAAGGGTTTGGTGCCAAATATACCAGCAACCACTTGGAGACTATTTTATCTGTGACTCAAATAAATGAGCTTGGCACGGAGAGACTTTATCGTAAACAGAATTTAACTTAAAATGTATGGAATAGAAGCAGTTATTTTGTCTGATACATGATTTGAAAATAAAATTGAAATTGTTCATGGCTTTGCTAGAGAAGAGAAGAGACAAGACACGCTTCTGCTAAGATGCCATGATGTGTATTCAGGAGGCCACTACCACAAATTCGAACAGCGGAGCGTGCAGTGTTGCCATATGTATTGCCAAAAATAAATGATAGAAAGATATCAACATGTTGAATTAATTGTCGACATAAAGGCAAAGTTGTTAAAATTACCTCTGAATAGAGATCAGTAGACTGTGGAAATTTGCTCATAACCATGTGACACAGGTGATGAAGTAAGGAGTGTTTGTGAACAGTGTCTTTAACTTCAGGAACTTTGGCTAAATACTCTATTTGGAAACCTTTAACCTGAAACCAAAAAATGCAAGACTATTTAAAAAAACGGAACATTGACCTGATTCTCCTGCAAGATCAACATTAAGTAAGCAAGGTGTTACTCATCAATGGTGAAACTGCAGGAATACGTATTTCAGTTTCCAACATTGCATACTTCCCATCACAACTTATTTTCTACATGAAATTTCCAGCTCATCCATAAAAGCACTTACCTACAAAGAGAAATTAATAGCACATATGTTGTTTCTAAAATGAGCCGGAAATAGTGGTTTCTCATTGCACTGATATAAGTTATTTTTAAACACTCAGGAGAAACGTTTCAACAAGAAAGATGGAAAAGAATTTTTGAAGACTTACCTCATTTCCATTAAGAAAAATGCCTATGGACAATAAAGTGGCTAGAATGGCTCTAAATGTTTTATTTGCTTTTAATAACTCCATGCCTTGTTTTAGATCCATTAAAGGCTCAGCAATTTCCTAGAGAAAGAGCATAAATGAGATATTAAAGGATATTTCACATTTCATTGCATGTGAATTGAACTTATATCAACATTGAAAAATGTCATTTCACTTGTTTGACATAGATGAGGAGAAGGAGGGAGAAATAGATGAGTTAGGTATGCTAAGGGTACTTGTTTAAACACATTAGTCATATTTTTGCACAGATAAAATTCTAATTGGCGTTTTGAAATTCAGCGGAAAGAAGGGAAAGATAGAGGAAGAGTTCTTCCTTACTTCGTGCATTAAGATGATCTATAAAGTTGATGGATATCTCCCATGCGCCAATACTATTGGGGATCACTTAGCTATGCACATTGCGCAGTGACCATATTAGATGTTATTAAAAAGGTGGCTTAGGGAGGGGGGGGGGGATTTTGAAAAATTAAAGCATCGTAATCAAAATATTTCTTTACATCTATAATTTTTTTGCAGAGCTGAAAAGATAATCACTACTTTATTTAAAAACAGTGATGACTGTTTTCAGCAATCAAAGCACCCAGGCTGACATCAAATTATGAAATTCGAGCAAACTCAAATCAAAAGAAAAACGTATTATACCTATAATCAATAAACAGGAAGCCTCCTGATAGAATAATAGTAGCTTAGTACTTACTTTTTCACTGTTTTCATAATCTAATTTAAATGCCCACAGTTTAAGCCTAGCTGGGAGTTCAATAATTGAGGCTAGGGTCAATAGGAACTGTTCTGCACTTCCCAAAGGCAATTCAGGATTAGCGGTTTGTGCTTCTTGTATTTTAGTTCTTTCTTCTTCACTCGGTAACATGGTGAGTAATTTCTGAAAATTAAATAATAAAGGCATTTTGAGACTCAAAAGGCACAAAACGATGAAGGCTATAAGAAACTAGTTATACCAAGCTCCAAGACTTCCTAATTTTGCGTAACTGGTAACGCTTCGTTCCAGCATTCTACCGAGCCGATTTTCATGATTTTTGTGGCTATCAACGGGCAATTGTCTCTAAATAAGCCAACTCTATTCAGATTTTCAAAATATGACCCAGGTTTTTTTATATTACGTGGGAAAGTTGCGAATTCTCCCATTTAAACAATGTAAATTTATATTTTTTGTCATAGTTCGTTGGAGCGTTCTACAGGGCCGATTTCCATGCTTTTTGCGGTTATCGACAGGTAATTGGCCGTAGATGAGCCCGTTTTAATCAGATTTTGGAAATAGGACCCAGGTTCTTTTACAATCACGTTATAAAAGTGAGCGAATTTACAGATTGCTCCAGAACTGCTGTCGCTATGCGCAGGAGGTTGCGCAGCCGCCGAGGAGGTTGCGCAGTGGCCGAGGAGGTTGCGCAGTGGCCGAGGAGGTTGCGCAGTGGCAGAGGAGGTTGCGCATCAGCTCTACTTATCAACACAAGATTCGCCTCCCATTCCTCAAGTCAATCGGTGGCCGAGTCATCTACGACGTCGTACACGCCCACACATTTCAAGATTTGGGTTCGATTCTTGACTCTTTAGTTACTTTTAATTTTATGACCTGATTGTCATTATTCGTTGTTTTACTGCAACATTTCATTAATCAGTCATTGCAAAACGCGTTATTTTGACTTCAAACAAATTTTTTTTCTTCATTCATCAAAAACAAAAATCATTTCATTCTAAAAGTAAAGTATACCTGATATCCTAATTTTTCAGGGGAAAAATCAAATCAACATTGATAGAAGGGTAAAAATAGGGCCGCAAAGCGGCCCATTGATGGCGCGGACCGCCTTCGGGGCGTAGCCCCCTAACAACCAAGGTTTACGTAGGGTGACCTAGACCATGTGTACCAGAATTTTTTCTCCAATGATGTAGGTAAGACAAAATCCAAGACCGCAGAGACAAATCATCAATTGACCCAAGGAATCTGAATTTCATCATCCTCAATCTCCTAGTCCCCCAAAAAACTAAGTTAAGGAAAATGAAACTTTCAACTCCTTTCTTTCGGTTTAGAGATATGAAATACTGCTATGTTTCACTTACCTCTATACCCTCTCTATTCATCACAGTTGCGTCCATTTTTAGAATAGCTGTTTTGATTGCTCTAGGAGGAGGTAATTTAGTCATTCCAATGTTGATTGCATTTGATCGTTTCGGATCCAGAACTATGATTTCTTTGTTTTTATTAAGTTCATGTTGTTTCTGAAATGTTCAATTCAGTCAATTCAAGTATTGCATTACAATAAGCACATAATTGATAATTTTTCACTGCATGAGGATGAAAATTTGGGCTGGTAATGATTGAAAACACTGCTGGCTTCTCAGGGTCTTTTAGAGGTCGGTTTGTTTTGTCTTGGAGCATGCACGATAGGGCGTCCTTGAAAAAGCAACTCACGCATTTTCATAGAATGCAAAGAAAATTGAGTCCTTGGGGCTTCACTCATAGTGAGAGGTGCAACAGATGGAGGGGGGGGGGGATGTGCCTTCACTTGAGCCCCTGCACCCTGGTATACATGTGGTACCAAATTTCGCGCAGAACAAGTATGCATATCTTCTACCCCTTCTGCCAGCAAGTGCCACTGATTCCACGAATTTTCGTTACTACATATAATCTAGGTTCTCTATCTATCATCTCATCTAAAGGGCCATACGCGTGGTCTGGATTGTATACATAGATGGTTCAAAGGCTCCATATTGAGGTACCTATGCTAAAATAATATCCTTCTGACTTGTTTGGTAATACAGAAAGAAAAAAACTAGGTAATATTGATCGAATATTAATGACATAAATAAAACAGGATATTATAAAGCACAGAAAACGAACTATGATTAGAAGCATTACGTTAGATTTAACTAATAAATGATAATTGATACATCTTGCTACATATTTATACTATTATAAAAAAGATGCTTGTGAGTTCATGAACTCTGTAAGTCAGAAACTTGAAGCAGGAAAATAATCAAGTCTAAATAAAGGGGTAACAAGATTTTCTAAGCATTAATTAAGAGCGATGAAGAACATTGCTGAACTTCCTAGATTGAGCTGCAGAATTGAAACAAACTTCTAAAGGAGATACCTTTGCCAAAATTCTGAAGACTTGCACATCAAGGATTTCAACACTAACAGCCAGGAGAAACCAAATACTACCACTGTATTGTAAAACAAACTTTAATGAGGAAGAAAAGCTTGGTATAGATGTTAGAGGAGACTACAGGAAAACTACCAGTTCAAATAAATCTAGAAAAACCCTAAAATTACCATCTTTCCGTACTATTGAGAGAGGTAAAGTTAGCAAAAAAAGAGAAAAAAAGTAATGAAACGATAAAACGAATTTTCAATGGGTTTTTAAAAAGAAAAAAAAAATATAAATCCAAAATTTTCTTTCCAAAATCCTTTCAAAGTATGAAAGAGGCGCGTTAAATTACGGAAATTACAGTTGTAGTTACAGATGATTAATGATAGCATTAGATTATTAAACATATGATATGATGAAACAATTGACGGAGGCTTGATCATTTAGACAGGATCAGTTGTCGCTTATATATTTTCATTTCATCAACCTTATAGAAAGCAGTTTTTGAGGGAGAAAAAATGAATTGATAGAAATAATAAGAATTCAATTATAGAAGTACAACAAAAATTGCACAACCACATGATGACGATACTGATACAAGTAAAAAAAAACGGAAATGAGGGGAAGTAGAATGTCATTACACACAATAAATTCTTACTGTCCACTTAATTTGGCTGAACTCACCTCCTAAAGAAATATAACGCAGTTCCCAGGAACAGATACAAGGAGGGCAGAGAGTTAAAAAAACAGAAAACATTTTTTGAGCAAGATTAAATTCCATGAATATAAAAACTGAACTTGAGGGGAGTAAAAAGTTAATTTGTGAGAGGAAAAATGTAAACTAAAAAAGAAGTATCCCATCCGAATATTTCTTTCTCTTTAAGAACAAGACAATGGATAAGGTGCATAAAACCTTCATCTACAAATTCGTAGAGAAAGGATCAGGTGTTCATTACTCAAATGGAGAAATTGGGAGATAAGTTTTAGACTTCTTTCTTAAAAATTCATTAATTAAAAACCGCCTTTGAGAATTTGTTCCAAATGTTCTTTAAATTCTCTTTCCCTTTGAACAGTACAAACAGAAGTAAGTTTTAATTTTTCGCTTTCATTGATTTGATATTATCCATGAAAAAATACAAATGATGTAGGTCTTCAGAGAATCAGAAGAAAAGTAATATACAATTCACATGGCCAGTATAATTCTGCTTCTACTTAATCATCATTCATTTCCCAAATTTCACAAGCAATTTTCAGGCAAGGTACTTAAATCTTTCCTCTTTTCTCTACACGGCTATTTCTCCTATTATAAAAATTCAAGATTCAAAATGAAAAAAAAAGGGGATATTAACTATTTTACTGTCATCAATGACAGTTGAAAAACAATTCTATTTTATTCTGAAAATAAAATGGATCAATTTAAGGGGGAAAACACTTGGTTCCTGGAACTTGGATGGCATAAAAAATTGCTACAAATCATGGAATTTATGAAAATTGACTGAAAACTTAAAAAAGAAATAAATATGAAATGAGGAAGAATCACACAAATGTGTTTCTTGCAATAAAAGAAACAAGACCTAATAAGTAAGGAGTTCATTTTTGAAAATCTGTATGTCTTTGGGAACAAGGCCATTTTGAAGGATTCCACCAAAATCAGCCTAACAACATCAAACGTAGCTTAATTTCATTCCATGTCAATTCATTTCAATTATCCTTTTTTATCAGGACACAAAGAAACATTCTGACTTGAAGTTTTTCAGGTATATTTTTCATAATTTGGAGGAGGCTCACAGAAAGTTTTGATGTGTTAAGTTATTCAGTTTTCTGTCAGAAAAAGAATCATGAGACGAAATCAGGCATCGTGAAATCCACTTATTTGGGCTGATTTTGATTAAATCAGTCATTGATTCTATGAAATGTCTAGATAAAAAGAGTGAAGCCTTTGGAATAAATAGCAGATTAAAGGAAAAAAAATTGCGAAAATCAAAAAGAAGCAAAAGCCCTGATAAGCCGTTTGGACTTTGAAAGCTCTAAGTTTGTAAGACGCACAAACAAACATTTTATTTACAAGAGAAAGAAAATATGAGCCACTTGGCTGTAGATAAAACGTTTGAAAAATTTCACAGACAGTTGAGAATTGCTACTATTGTAAAACTCAAGATCAATCTAACTTCACAGGGCAATGATCTACTCTAAATATCACTTAGAAAGCCACTCAAAATAAGAATAATGTATGAGTTTGCGATGGAGGATGATGGAGAGTGAGATTCTCTACACTGCTGCACTAAGAAAAAATGTCCTATGAACCTTCAGGCCAACACATGGAGGTGCCAAATTTACTTTGATAAAATACGAAATTATTGGGAAAATTGTAAATATTTTTCTTTCAATTTTTCAGACAATTCAGTTCGCAATTTAATCTAAATTATTTGAAAATTTCAAGGAAAAATATGATTAAATTTCTTCCAACTCTTCAGTTTTATTTATAGATCAAATAAATTTGTGACTAAACATCTAAAGTGTATATCTTACCTTTGTAATGAGATCTTTGGTGCGAGATTCAAATAAATGTTCTAACTTTTGAGTATCTACTGGGACAGGAGTCAGTTCATCCCAAATTAGACTAGAGTTCATTTTAGCCATGACTATTGGATCCTCACATACTTCCTGTAATTAAAACGGTGACATTTTTTTATTTAATGAGAGACAATTTTACACTGATGGTAAATTTAGGAAAACCCTGCTTATTTTGTGAAAATCGCAAAATTCAGTAAAATTAGTTATCTCGTTTTGTAATTATTTATTTTGCTTTTTTAGCAAAAATTAATTTTGCTTTTATGTACGCTCCTATTGCAAGTCCTGATTTCAGCAATGCAATTTGCAGCGCTTTTCGGTGATAGTATGCCCAACAGACATTATTACAAAGAAAATTCAACTTTAACTAGTTAATTATAAAAGAAATGATCTAAGCGATAAGAGAGAAAATTAGAAGAACTTAGTGGTGGAAAAATAGTGAAGTAATCAAATTTTCTAGGCATATAAGTTACCTTCCAGAATAACTTGACAGTTTTCTTTGTTTTGGTCAGCGACTGTAGAGGCGCTGCAGGTGCGGGTGGTGGGAGCACGCAAGGTGGGGGAGGTGGCGGTATTCCGTTAGCCACTGAGGTGGGAGCGAGTATATTCTTCTCATCATCACTTCCGAGGTCGGTAAAATCCAAATCACAAAGTTGCAAAGCTCTTGTTGTGGATGCCAGGAGTTCTTCCCAATGAAGTTCAGTTTCACTCTTCTTAACTTCAGGAATTCTCATGGGTGGAGTTTCGTTCGTGGGACTTTTCAATTCCGATTTTGACTGCGATTTCGCCAAACCTTGAAAGGAAACAACAAAAGTAAAGAAATTACACGATGAATATTAAATTTATTTCATTCCTACACAAGGATATGAAACATGAGCCACAGACCCAAATTTTATTCTTTTAAATGGGAACCCTTGCTTTGTTATACATTTCTGGATAGGACATATAAATTGGAAATTATTGACTGCAAGTACAACTCCGCGACAACGATTTTTTTTCAATGACAGCCAGTTAAAGCCCATAATGACCGAAAAAGTACCTCCGCAACCTATGAACAAATTTCCTTGACTTGATAATGGTTTTTTGGAACGCTAAGAACGAATTTGAAATTAAATTTTTGTGCATTTTTTTCTGCTGAACGTCAAGGTGATGGCAAAGGACAAAAATCTTCAACGATTTTAGAAAATAAAATCCTTGAAGATCTGAACATCGGTATAAGTTAGAATACATACCTTCTATAGCTTTTGAAATGATCCCTTTCATTTCACCCACACGAGGAGGCGGTGTTAGTTTAGTAGGACTCTCCTCATTCGGACTATTTAGAGTTGCAAGTCTTTGTGTCAAATCCTTGACTGTGTTTTCTCTCGGCAAACATGATTCAGTTTCTCCATTATAATATTTCAAATCGCCATTGCTAAGTTCAGACTTTAATCCATTTTTCATGCCTCCTACAATTTAAAAAAAAAAAATTAGAGAATTGAATGAGATGTTTCGTAGACTGATACATCAACTGAGAAAAAACTAAAATCACCATGGAGAAACAATGGTGTGAGTTCATAAATATTTTAATGCCCAGCTGACATCTTATACAACAGTGCAAATGATGTTTCTTGATTTCACAAAGTTAGAAACATTTAAAAGAGGAAATGTGGTGCTAGGACTTCAATATAAATAGTCATGGAATGAGTTTTTCACTAAAATGTCTTACAGTCATACATTGCCTGTATATACAATTTTTCAGGGCAAAATCCTGGCTATTTTTTCGACTAAAACAGCACTACTCTTCGTGAAAAAAGGCAAAAATCCATGAAACATAATTTTTTCAACAGTATTACTCAAAAAGGAAGTTTTCATTCCTATGTCAGATTGAGAGTCAATTCGGAGAGCCAGAACTTTATGAAAGATCATCCATTGAACACAAAACAGGTTTTCATTGGTGGAGAGAAAAAAACCTGTGCTTTGTTGAGGCAATAATCATATTTACTTATGATTTATGATCACTCAATCATACAGGATAACCCAAAATCAACATAAAAAATGAAGCAGTGAATTCTGAAAGTGATAATGGACTTTTTCTCCTATGAACTTGTTAGCAGAAGTGGTCCCTTTCAGAACTATAGCCCCCACGAAGTGAACAGTCAGTTACTTAATTTTCTACTTTGCTCACAAGTTCATTTCTTGGGGGTGGCCATTATTAATGAGTTTAAATCTATAGGCCTTGCCAAAATTTAGAAAAACCAATATTTTTCTGAGAATTTGGGGGAAGGATGGTAAATTGCCAACAAGGGGCGCTTCTGGAACAAATTTCAAAGAGAAGAAAAGTATTCATTTTATCCATAGAACGCATTCCTGCAGTCTGGCTCTGTGACCCTGAAAACTGTTTAAGTCTTTAAGAAGACTTTCCAACAATGTTATCTTGCAATGAAATATTTGCAAAATTAAATTTTTAAAAAGAGGAGAGCAAAATTTAAGATGCATACCATCATCACTAGAATAGTTTTCTGTGGAGGATTTGCAAAGTTCTTCCTGAGGAATTAATAGTTTTTGTCGATCGCCCCTTTCAAGTCTTCTCCTTAGAGCTGGTGTAACGCCGACACCATCCTCTGCTGCTGCATCAGTTAGTCAAGGGTTAGTTTTCATATTAGTTGAATTAGTGTTATTTACATTGAATGATAAGACTAGTAGAGACTATTTGGCTTCGTGAGGGTAGGTTTAATTTTGGATGCTTTACAAATAACTATTAATTAATCAAGTTCAAGTGAGATTATTCTGATAAAAAATTCACATGATTAAGATTCCTTGACACCAAAGTCCCACACGTAAAGCAAAATTCCGGGAAGATCCAGTGCATTCATAAAACTTGGGCCTTTAAATTAAGTAAATTCAGGTTTTGCAAACTTCAGCAGAAAAATTATGTTACTGGTAAATAGTCAAAGAGGTTAATTAGTGTACTTGAAAGTTGGTTCAATTTGTTTTTTCTAAGTATGGCATTATTAGATACTCACGCTGTGACAAGATCTAGTGCTTCCTTGTAATTAAAAGGACATTATATGCTTGAGCAGTGTCAAAAAGGGGAAAAGTTATTAATTATACCTGGTGCTATTTCAATGATATTTTCTCCTACCATCTTCAAACTTTAACATATCATCCTGACTAGTAAAGATTTTGCAAATAAATAGAACAAAAACCAGACTGGATGGTTCAACTGAGACTATGAATTATAACCTACATCAAATCCTATCTTTATCTTCTCAAGGGAGATGAGACACCAAAAGGGTTCAAAGGTCACTCAAGGTAGCTTTCCCTTTCTTTTAGACCTTTCCTATTCCCTTTGATTCCAATTTAATTGAGATTAATTAATTTTTGCCCAAGGAAAAATTGGTCCACAGTTGACATTTTTGAACCTATCGATTAATACCTTGATTAATAATCGATAAATAATCAATTTAAACCTCTTTGATAGATAATATTAGATGTTAGGTAAGGAAGCAATCCACTAAATACAAAGGCTGTTCAAAAAAACTGAGAGTTGGCTTGTTATGAGACATCTGTTACACGTATATATCAGAGCACAGTTTGTAGAAACTTGTAGCTCAATTTTCTACAGCAATTTTTGGTGACAGGTAAAAAAAATTGTAAAAATGAATTTTTTTTGTCAAAACAGGCCAACTCTCAGTTGTTTTGGGATAGCATTTGTATTTTGAGAGAACTTCACCAGCGGGAGTGAATTAAACTGATGTGGTATCTCAAATGGTGACTAAAATCAGGTTATTTGATCAAAGCTGAACTATTATTAAAAAGTTCCAGTACTTTTGTCTCTTGTTACTTTGAAATAATTGATCCAGATAAAAATTTCACCATACCCTGTTTCAGATGGTAGTCTTCATTTGCTTTATTGTAAGGAGAAACTGACAAACTTAAAGGAACCGTTCCTGTAGAATGCCTCCTGGATCGCCTCCTTTCTATATCACTGATCATGGAAGCATTGCTAAAACGGGTAGTCCTGAGAAACAGCACAACAAATGATCAAAGATTAAAATGCATCTAGAGAGTTCACATTTTGTATCCAGGAGAGCTAATTACAATTTTGGATATTCAGATAATGGAGAATTTGCACACAAAAATTTTATTGCTTCATCTGAGAGTGCTTAATAAGCTGAGTTTGCAGTATTTTTCTTAATTTTTTCTGAAATGGGAAATCGGAGAAAAATAGATTTAAAAGTAAGAAAATGTGCTGCCTTGTGATGTCATCGGACAACATTTTCCATTTAAACACATGTATTTTGGAAAATTAGGTTATTCTGTCATATTTGCTCCAATAATTCGTCACCTTCCGGGCAAAGTATCACAAGCGCCATGCGACGTTTCAAAAATTCCGCCGCCGTTTTATTTTTTTACAGAGAAATAGTTCAACGAAGCTGTCCGAAAATTTCACTGAATTTTCTTTGCGATGCCGATAAAATTCAGTGAAATTTTCAAACAGATTCAACCAACAATTTCTCTGTAATAAAATAAAATGGCGGCGGAAATTTTGAAGCGTCGCATGGCGCTTGTGATACTTTGCCCGGAAGGTGACGAATTGTTCAATGGGTCACTAAACCTTGTTTATTTTATTGAATATTCTGAAAGTACAATGTGAGTAGATAACGTGGTGATTTTTCAACATTTTTATGGAGCCGAAATCGCGGAGAAACCCGCTTTTGAAAAATCTAAAAACTGCAAGACATTTCAAACGCACCCGAATGGCGGGAACCTGACGGTGTTGACGCATTGCGGTAGTCATATCGCAATCTTCTCTCATTTTCCTCTAATGTTTGTTAAAATAAAACGTGTTTCAATGTGGAATTGTTGCTCGTTTATTACAGCTAACATATGAATGAGATTCGAGTTTTGAATTCAAAAGATATAATTTCAACTTTAGTATTGTTCTCATATACGAAGAGTAGGTAGATAGACATTTGACTGACGTCGTGGAGACCCGTGCCCGCTCCTGATTGGTGCCGGATGACATCATTCGGTGCGGCGCGAAACCGGGGCGTTTTAAATTTGCATATAAGTTGAGCACTTTGAACTGCGCATTTCTCGGTTACTGATTTACTTGTTCGCCTTTTTAATGTGCGCATCGTGTTCTATGCATCATTTTCCTTCAGAAAACTTTATTTGCAAGTCAAAATTCGTTCATGGTTTAGTGACCCATTTAGAGACCTAGGATATCCTCGTACTCAGTTTTCTCAGCAGTATCATTTTAAAGATGAAATTCACAAAATTTTGGACACTTGCTAATTCTCCATTATTGGATTCTCATTTTTCATGTTTGTTTGACTGCTTGTGGTACACTTGACCGGGCAGGGATGGTAGGTTTTGGTTGTCTTCACATGGTTGAAGCCTCTGCAGACATTTCTTTTTTAACAATTGAAAAACTCGAAAAATAAAAAAAGGCCCCACTTGCAGCATTGCAATTTTTACTTTAAAATTTAAAGACCTTCCCTCGCACTTCAACGAAAAAAAATGGTGGGTGGTCTTCAGAAATACTAAAACTTTTAAAAGAACAGTGCACACGCTGTAAATAATTTTTTCCCCCTTTTTCCAATCTATTCTTTTTGGCCTGGATTCCTCCCTACAATCCTAGACGCCTTCTACGGCCCACAGATTGAAACCCAGTGCCGTAACAAACCCTGATGTGGAGCATAAATATAGAGAGACTGGAAATTAAAGCCACTTAATAATGACTGAAAAGCATAAAAATGAATCGATACCTAACATTATCGTCCAACTGCTTCAGAGGTATTGTTTTGTCTCCTCCATCTTCATGATTCAAGACAGCTTCATAAGATTGCAGCTGATGAAGAAAGTCTAGATCTGTCCCAGGTCTTGACATATACCTGGAAAATAGATAGAGAAATCTAAATATTGCTCTTATACAGTTTATTAATGAATATTAGGACAAGTTAATTTCCTTTGGTAGGATTTGTGGAGCTGTGGTTGCTTGAAATCTCCTGATTTTAAGGATTCACCAAACCCTTATTTGTGAGCAGACTATTTACCAGAAAAGCATGCCTAGAAACATTTCACCTCAGTAGGAGTCTACTAATTACTATTTGTAACAAGGTGGAGAAATGGTGCTGGGTCCACACCATTTTGCGGGGAAATCAAAGCCAAGAAGTTCCAAAAATTATAATTAGAGTCAACAATAAATTTTTTCAAACTTTGAACTTATGGCGCGAGGATCACACTTTTGTGTCACGCCTGGGGTCATATCCATGATGGCATTTTAATACCGTCTTGGATTTTGCGGCATGTTAAGTTGGGTTCACTGACAAGTGAGATCTGCTAATGAGGTCTAAAAAGACACAAATCGGTATAGATCTCTCGCCATGACTCTAACTTAATATTCGAATGCAAACTGCCTGAGCTGAACACTCTTCCCCCTCAGTTTTGTGCTGGTACTCACTAGAGTTTAAAAAAATTTATTTTTGACTCTAATTATGATTTTTGGAACTTCTTAGCTTTGATTTCCCCACGAAATAGTGTGGACCCAGCACCATTTCTACACCTTGTTACATACAGTATTCGGGCCACCTCTTACTGTTTTTTTTTATACTGCTCTATTTGTTTCTGCAAAATCTGACTTACCTTTGCACAATTTCTTGGATGCCTTGTTTTTCTATTTCGTCTACTTGGTCATAGTACATATCCAGATCAGGAACTCGATTAAGGGTTTTATTGATTAATGTCATGGCATAAATCAACAATTCTGTGTCAGTAACATCATACTCATTTAACAATTTCATGATATTACTCCATGGCAGCGATCCTGTTCAATTCAGAAACACAAGTTAGACAAAATGACAAATTTTATGCAGAGACCAATTTTAGAAAAGGATTCTCTTTTCTCTCTTTGACTTCAATGACTTCACAGAATTATTTTAAGAGGTCCAAAAACAATTACGATGATGAACTGTCAATCCGCATTTATTAAGATATCTGCTGATGATTTTTACATTACTGTCTGTTTATTGCCAAATCTCAGAAAATTTAGGCAGTTGCACTATTTTCTCAAATTCCTTGCAATGTGATAATTTTTGCCACATTTCTTGTGGTATTATTGAAGGGACTTTTTATGTCTGCATTGATGTTTTTTTCAGCTTTGATAGTCTGATTCACGTCTAATGCTATGATTATCATTCTGACTCTAAATTTAAACTTCTTCTATTACCGTGTCTGATATAGAAATGCCCAATATTTTAAGGAGACATTTTTGTGCTTTCTATGGTAACTCTTCTTGTGCCACTATATCGCTTATATGAGAAATGATCTAATATCGTTATTAGAATGACTACTTGTGTCCGTAATAATGTTTTTTATGTTAGTTGATCTGATATTATCGTTTACCATTGTTCCAAGTCTATGGTTGATGTGTTCATGTTTGGTTCATCAATACATCAAATGGCATGGTCGCCAAACCAGTTCATTGCTACTTTGAAAACATATTGACGCTACAAATAATCATTGAAAATAAAGAACAAAAAGAAAATATATTAGTGGCCAAGTCTGCGATAAAGTTTCTGAACCCCATCTCCAAATACAATAACAAAAATTTAGATACAATCCTTTTGCATTCTGGTGTGTCAAATAAGTTCTTCTATTTATAATTAAAAATTCTGATGCTTACACTGTATTGAACACGCAAATTTTAGGGTAAAAGGCATTGCTCATAATTGATGATAACATACCTCTGGATTTATCAACTGTATGAATAGCTTGAATGAGTAAGAGGCAGTTGGATTCTACATATTCTACAAAAACAAGAAGAAGTTTGAGAGCTGTCTTGACAACGAGACGGAACTTTGAAGATACTAGACAGTAAAGCCATTGAATCGTCTCGTTGTGTTCTATGACTCCATTCATTCCATCTACATACAGCATGACTTGACCTAAGGCTGCAACATAAGAGTAATTCACCATATTTCATTAGTTACCTATGGTTCAAAACTGAGCATGTCCGTGCTTTGGCATTCAGCAATCAAGTATCACTAACGATAAAAATATAATTGAAGAATATGCCTGTGACGAACATTTTTAAAAAATACCTGTTTTGAGCAAAACACATTTAAAACTGTTTTGAGAAGGAGGCTTTGATGCAATTTAGCCTCTAATTCTGCATAGAAGCAGAGACGTGTTTCTAAAGATAGGTACATACCTACTTAAAAGATTAAAATGATGACAAGCATAACTGATTGTCAAAAAAGATGAATTACACTATGCATTCTTTCACGATCAGACTCTTTGACTTTTGTGAATATGTTGATCCTGCGATAAATTTGAACTTACCTCTAAGAATGTAATTCTGATAATTTTGATTTGCATCCGAGCCAACTTTAATGAGGCACGATAAACCATCATTCTGTACAAATTCATGAACTAAATCTTTGTCTTCCTGCAAAAAAATAAAAGATGACATTAGAAATGCACATGACAGACCTTTTATCTTCTGGTATCAATTATTCCACTAACTAAAATGACAATTCCTCATTGAAAATCATTCCTCTATTCACTATTCAGAGTGTAACTCACATTCAGAGAATTGAGAATGGGGCTCAGTTTTATTGTTAGGACAGTGCTGATGTTTTTTCGGATTTCAAATTTTACTATTTTTAAAAAAACCTGTCTTCTTCAACAAATTCCCTAACATTCCCTTCATTTTCTTCAACTGATTAAATTCTGAGTATCTTTCTTATTTAATTAATGAGACGATTGAGCTTAATACAGTAGATTCCAAAAAAACGTACAAGAAAAGGAAAAGCTAATTGTTCAATATAAGACAAAGAGGCACGCAGACAACACTTAATTCATTTTTAAAAGAGGGCAGATATGGTCTTCCCGAACGAAGATAGTGTGAGTTAAGCCTGACATTACCCATAAAACTTAAAGTGTAAACAGGTTCATAGCTGAGGCTTTAAATTTAAAAAAAAAAAAAAAAAATTCTCGGGGCTTCCAAATTATAATCCCTTGATAGGTACCAAAGTTCTTAGATATTTAGTTTTGGTTTCACTTACTTGAAATATTTGCTTCAAACAGAACAGAGCTCTCCTAAGTTCTGAGCCCTCGGAATTGAGAAGTTTTTCTAGACAGAAAAATAAACAACAATCAACAAAATATTCAATAAAATTGAAATCAAGTTATATATTTTCAATGTATGACTTCCTTAAAGAATACATAAACTATCAGCTTTGACTACGGACTGCAAGACTGCAGAATTGATTACATATAGCCCTGTTTCGCCAATATCATACTGTCAAGATTCGTAGAAACAGATCTCGTAAGAGCCTAGGAGATGTTGATAGCGACTTGAACGACGCGTCTAGTAAATAAAGGAGGGGGGGGGGCAAAAACATTTTAAAAACGAAGTAATGAAAGAACAAGTCTTGGAATGGTCGAGGAGACAAATTGAAAACATTTTCAAAATAAGTTGATTTTAATTTCAAAAATCAAAACAAAAATATTTTAAGACAAATCAAAAACATTTATCAGAGGCAAAAGAAAAGAAAACAAAATTAGACAATATTATTGAAATATTTTTTGAGAGGAGGAGGCAATTTTGCAATTTTGCATTTTGCAACTACAGGTTTTAAAAAGATTTCCGAAATTCTTTTTCCTCCTTTCAAAGCTTTCTTTGGATGCTCTGCTGAAAAGCGAACTTCACGACGGCTCATCCTCACATAGTGCAGGTGACTTTTTCTAGGGCTGAAGCCCCCTGTTTATAATGTAATCTAAAAGGCCTGTTAATGACGTCATCACAAGGTTACATCTTCGTTTAAAGAGAAAAGAGAAGGATGGATGCGGCTATTTGTTAGGAATTAAACAAATATTACAGAACACGCAACTCACCTATGATGGTGTGAACCCGAACTGACAACTGAGTTCGCAAAACTATTGAATTTTTCCGGCTGTAAATAAAAAGAATACAAAAAATTATCAGTTCAAACATCTTTCAGGTACGTAAATCCGCTAACTGTTCGTTCCTCCAAAAATCCAAACAATCGCAAACCATCAGAAAATATGAATTCAAATTTTCAAGTACATTAAGGGATCAGGGGCTCTGTTCGTGAATGGACCACTAGACAAGGTACGAATTTAAGCAATCTGATACATGTTTCTTAACCAGAATTTCACGTAAAACACGATTCACGCAACGAAAACAACTCTTAACGAAGATAGTAACGTTTTTATTTCACATTGGTTACGAGGAATTTGAACTGCCCGCTCACAAGAAACTTAAAGCTCTACGTGAGTCGAATCGCGCACTACAACGTTTTCAACAAGCTTCTCAATCGAGCAATGTTCATATCCCACCATGTGTTGTTCAAACTACAAGCAATTTGCTATAGCTGAACCAAAGCGTCAAGATCGAGGTTGCCAGATTTTTATATCGCAGAGACTGGCATGATAACATTTAGCGCGCGATGTGAATCACGTAGAGCATTGTTTTCATGAGCGGATGGTTTGAATTCACGCATCAAGAATCATTAAATGTCTTCGTAAGGAGTTGATTGTTTCGGTCATTTTCGTTGTACGCATCGTGTTTTACGTGGAATTTTGGTTGAGAAACATGTATCAGAATGCTGAAATTCGTACCTTGTCTAGTGGTCCATTACGTAACTACATTTTGCCATTTTTTTGAAATCCTACATCCCTTGTGACGCACCCGTAACACAAGCCTTGATAACCCCTCAATAATATGGTAACATTGGTCTCAAAACTTATTACTTATTTGCTGAAAACCTCAAAATAAATTAACGTACTGCCTCCATGAATTAACAAAGATAAAAAATTAAATTCAGGTAAAATTGTAAAAAAAAAAAAAAAAAAAAAAACTAAGCTGGTAGGACGAATATTAAGTACAGGATTGAAATAGTTGACCTATTTTCCCTCCCTATATACTTACGCGCATGTGGTTCTGTTGCCAAAATTGCAATGTTCTTGCAATAAAGTTGCAACTTTTTTAATTTAAAAAAATATTGGATACAAATTAAGCTTTCTTACTTTGACTGAAAGCCTTCAAATTCTTCTTGCTGTTCCGAAATAGTTGCATCTAAATCTAAATAAGAGCTGTAGTCTCCGTCTTTGTACAACTGCAGCGCCGCGTCATCCAACTGAAACAAGGAAAAAAAAGATAAGTCATGATAAGGCCAATAATAAATTGTGTATCTATGTTACGGCAAATGCCGAAAGCTAGACAAATCGCGATACAGGTACCTGGGCCTGGGCAGAGTGCGATGTGCCCACAAAGTTTTAGGTGGTAAAATAGTGCTGGATCCGCACAATTTTGAAGGAAAAAGAATAAGGCCGAAAAGCTCACAAATTTCAATTAGAGTCAAAAATGTTGAGCTCTAATAAGTATTATTACTACGAGACCGGAGGGGGGGAGGGTGTGCTTAGTTCACTTGAAAGTTTTATTTTTATAACGGGGTGTGTCCGGACACATCCGAAAAAATGGTGGTTGTTGCAAGATTTGCCCACAGGATTTGGTCACATCGCGATGTGTCCGGGCCAATCCCGAAATCTGAGTTCATTCCGGAATCGGACCTAAATTTCGTGGGCACATTGCGTATTGCCCGACATTCGGCGGGTGCCCGAGGCTAAAGTGCAAAACTACGCATATCCGTTGCCGTGTATCAAAATGTCCGCTCCTATTTTAATTTTTCGAAGAAAAAAACCAACTTTCAATCTTGAAATTCATACCGAATATTCTACCGACAGAGAAGAAAAATCAATGAGATTCTCAGGAAAATATGGTGATTAGTTTTTCAAAGAACAAATAAAGTGTGGCAGGAAGTCTCCAACGTCGCAACGGAGATGTCATTCCACACTTTGAGCCATCGATGTATAAATCATATTTCATTTACCACGACCATCTAAAGCACGAAAAAGTATTTCAAGTTGTAAGTTGTTTTTGTCCAGTAGTTTACGCCCACACGTAAAATGAGCAACAGTGACTTGGTCCAAGCGTTATATTTTAGTCGGTATGTTAAATTATATTGACAATATGGAAATGAGAAATTGAGAGAGAAAGAGGTGTTGTTATGGTTGCTCATTTTCTAAATGAAATGTTATTATTTTCTCCTTTTGAATCATCTTTTTAAATTGTCAGTGGTGAATATTTGGTTTTATCTCTATCCTTAAAATATTCGATGTACAATATACCTTATATACGTATAGGTACTTTTTTATTTTTATTTTTTCTTTACGAAATCATTACTTCATTTTGAAAACATTCATATTTTTAAAACGTGGCAAATATTTGTAAAACCTTTTCCAAGCGACATTAATCTCTATGAGCCGTAGTTGTGCCGACAGAAACTGCAAAAATGAATAAAAGAGGGAAAAAACCAAGAAGCGCGCAATCTTTAGTTTTAACCACTTTGTACATCGATCTTTTAGAGCCAAATACGTCAAATTTCGAGCGTTTGGCTGCGCGTATCCCTCGCTACAGCACAATAAAAGCACAAAATGTAAAATAAAAAATTAAAGTGCTTTGGAAATCATTAAATTTGACACGGAACCACCAATATTTAAAAAGCACACATTATATTATTATTCTCCTTCGATAAATTGTTTTATATTTTTCCCCATCAATTTAAATGCGAATAATCAATGCAGAGTGTGCAAACATTTCAAAATCATGAATTAAAAAACGCTGACTATGCGAGTATAAATATTGGAGCCTAAAACAGAGCAGAGCGGTGTGCTGCCAGCGCGAGAGGCTCACTGGCGCCTACAAACCTAAGTGGATACTTCACGCATTGCACAATGCTTGAAGTATCCACTTAGGTTTGTAGGCGCCAGTGAGCCTCTCGCGCTGGCCGCCCGCCCGCCGTGCGGCGGCGCCTGAGGCAACTATTTCACAACAGAGGTGTTGTACAGTATTATACGAAATTGAACGTATTAAGAATGACAGGCATCCTTTTAAAGTACAGATCTTTCCTCGCAAAATAAATCAAGATACTTATCGTACATAGGAAAAATCTACGAGCCTTTAGCTGAGGCAAATATAGAGGTTTATCCGGTTCAGGTATAACAAGGTGGGAATTTCTTGAAAGATAATTAAGTCCTGTTACACCAAAGAGGTGTAGAGAGTTTTAGTGAATTTTGTTTCATAGAATTGACGCTCCCCCATTTTTACCAAAAATCTCAACTCCGGTCCGTTGGACCGAACAGACAAAACAAAAAAAACAAGCAAACCCTCATTCTTCCAAGACATTATACATTTTCATCCAAAAACTTCGTGAGCAATGGTCGTTTGTTTTTACATGTGGGCCGATTAACTTTGGGTCTCAACTGGCACGTGGACCAAAACTCCCGTGCCGAAAAAACGCGTGGACGTAAATTACTGGAAAAACAGGTGCGCGGACAAAAAATCGTTGACGAAATGTTCTACAACCCAATTGCGATCTTGCAGGCAAATACCACCCTAAGAATCAACGTTCAGGGGATTGCATACTTTCCAGGCTTTACTATGGAACACGCGCGGCATGTAGGAAACAATTCCGGAGCTTCTTGCGGAGCCTCCGCACTTGTTCAGTGCTTCCGGAGCGCCCTCAAAAAATCAGTGCTATTTCCGGACTTTTCCGGAAATTTCGGACTAGTAGACACCCTAATACACGCACCTAACCTGCTCAGAAATAGATGGAGATGCGGCTTTGACACGCAAGAGCGCAAATTCATCATCCCAACGGAGAACAATGACGACTTTGAGCGCTTAAAAAATAAACTGTGCCGAGTATTTATAGACCAGGGCGCGAGATCGAGAGCTCCAGAAAATAGTTGTTGTTGTTTCTTTTTTCCACGGGATCGACATCCGCAAGGCGATCGCCCGAGGAGGGAGACAGAGAGACGTGTCGTAAACTAGGAGCGTTCCTTCAATCGAGAGCACGGCCCGTTTTCACGGGAAGGTGCGATCGTTAACCGTGGAATAAATACGTCGGCTCATTGTAAACAACATGCCTTTAAAATTCGGCAGCGCCAACCAGTCCGGTTGTACACTGAAAAAAAAAAATCTCGGTGTATTTACTGAGAAAATGGTAAAATTACCAAGAATTCAGGGTTCTATGTGATCCCAGTTTTTTCTTGGTAAAATTACCATTTATGGAATTGGTAATTTTACCGAGAAATCTCGGTAAAATTATTGAACTTTCTCGGTAATTTTACTGGGCCTTGGTAAAAACGCCAATATTTTTTATTGACTGTGGTAGAATTACCGAGATAAAATGGGAAAGTCACCGGGAATTGATCACCAATAAAAGTGGTATTCTTACCTGAAAAAAACAGTAAAAATACCAGTTTTTAGGTAAGCTTACCCGTCTGTTTTGGTACAATTACCAATAATTGGTAAAAAAAAGTGAGATGGTAAAGGTACCAACGGACCTTGGTAAAAACGCCGAGAATTTTTTTTCAGTGCATGCCTTTAAAATTCGGCAGCGCCAACCAGTCCGGGTGTAAACAACTTCGGACGGTTTGACGAATGCAAACTTCATTCAGGGTGGCATCGCCGACGAACAAATCGGAGCGACAGTAAGTGAGGGGTTTGGAGGGCAAGGCACATAAGCGCAATTTTTGAAAAATTGAGATATTCATGAAGTCAAGTACAACTAGTTAGAAAGTATATTCTGTGAAAAATTCACAACTAAAATCCAACTTGATTCCGACAAAAAAATTAGCAAGTCGCAGTAATTCCGGCAGACTTGTGCGGTCGGGATAATTTTAACAAAAAAATGAGCGCAGTCAAGATAAGATATCAACACAAAATTAGCACAACTACATTTGATAATATACTTTTATAAAAATCAAAGCATTTGCAAAGATTCCAGAATAAAGCGATTCGAAGAGCAGGCTCGGACTGGCGTGAAAAAAGTTAGGCCGCGGCGACGTATCGTGACGGCCCCCAGGGGGGGGAGGGGAGACCCCTCAGTAAGAAGAGGAGGTCCGGGGGGCGGCCGCCCCCCGGAAAATTTTTGAATCCTTTATATCCCGAGAATGCAATTTTATCCTCCCGGACGCTTGTAAAATTGTCAACTATTAGAGGTTTGGATTGATATAATATTCGACCTAAAACGTAATTTTGAGAGCACGTAAGTTTTATTTTACGTCAAAAAATTTCACTCAATTAACTCGTAACAGTGGAGACGCCCAACTCGGGGGCCCCAGTCGTCGAAAACTAATTTACCCTTAGATTACAGAGTCTTAAAATCAATAAAAACAATTCTGGGGCCCTCAGCCTCGGGGCCCCGAGGACGACGGCAAAGAAAAAGAATTAAAAAAAAAAATTGTGGGAAAGAGGGCCCCAGAATTGTTTTTATTAATATGAAGACTCTGTAATCTAACAGTTAATTAGTTTTCGACCCCCGAGGAGTTTGGGGCCCTCGAGTCGGGCGCCTCTACTGTTACGTGTTATTTCAGTGCAATTTTTGGACGTACCTAAAATAAAACTTAAGTGCTCTAAAAATTACGTTTTAGGTCGAATATTATATCGTCCTCGGGGGCCTCGGGGGCCCCGGGGGCCTCCGAGGACGAGGGCCCCGGCCGCGATCGTGGCCTAGCGGCTCTGGCCTGTGCCTAGCCGCAAATAATGTACAGAGATAATAGAGGATTTCCGACCAAGGTCAAAGGGACAAGCCGTAAGGCGCCCTTACTTCAACTTCAACTCATCGCAACCATTCTAAGCTCCTTCATCTCGTTGAGTATGCAATTTGATCTCCTGGGAGTTATCATGGTTGCTCCAAGTCCAAGTGAACCTCTACGGCCACCGACCTTTTCGGGCAAGGAGAAACAATTGGACGTATTTCTGCCAAACGGAGCTATGTGCATTTAGGCATGAGCCTTGAGACCCATGAGAATGTATGCATAGCAGGGCTCACGTTATAATGCACATAGTTCAGTTTGGCATGAATACGTCCAATTATCCGTCTTGAAATTCATGAGGAACTCTTGGTTTTATCATCACACGATTACAATACGAGCAAATTCAGATGTCATCTATAACACTTCACTGGCCAGTGATGTGATTTCGGGTCATCGGGGACTTCTCAGTTTGTTCGCAATTTGACCGTGTACGAGGGTCTTACAAGTATTCCCCCACAATGCATTGCTGCAGTGG